GTTAGAGGAGGAAGGAGGGAGGGAACTTCGTAACTTGGGTGACCTCCGGGCAGGCCTGCACCCGGCAGTTCTCAGCCAATGAGCCAGGGGAGGGACCTGCGCCCCGCTGACTGCTCACCACACCCCCACACGGCACTGGCTCCGTCTCCTGAGGGGACAGGTGAGGGTATTGCGTGGGTGATGAGGCCATGCCGCCTCAGCCTTCCTGGGACACGAGACACTGCAGGCACGAGGCCTGCAACACTGGATCTTTACAGATGAACTCGGCTCACAGGGAGGGCTTGGGCTTGACCCCAGATGAGACAAGTCCTGGTCCTGGGCAGCACTGGACAAACGCACGCTCCGCCCCCACCAAGGTCAAAGTCCACCGCCCATTCCACGCCCAACTCAGCCTCTCCCGCTGGGAGAGGGGGCTCCCTGCTCACAGAGGGCCTCAAACAGCTCACAAAAATGGGATTAAAGCTGTTTATTTTGGTGCAATTTTGAAATTCACAAATCTTTTTTGCTTTTATATATATATATATATTTTTGACAGGCAGAGTGGACAGTGAGAGAGACAGAGAGAAAGGTCTTCCTTTGCCATTGGTTCACCCTCCAATGGCCGCCGCGGCCGGCGCACCACGCTGATCCGATGGCAGGAGCCAGGAGCCAGGTGCTTTTCCTGGTCTCCCATGGGGTGCAGGGCCCAAGCACCTGGGCCATCCTCCACTGCACTCCCGGGCCACAGCAGAGAGCTGGCCTGGAAGAGGGGCAACTGGGACAGAATCCAGCGCCCCGACCGGGACTAGAACCCGGGGTGCCGGCGCCGCTAGGCGGAGGATTAGCTTAGTGAGCCGTGGCGCCGGCCTGCTTTTATATTTTTGATAACACTTTTTAAACAATGTGGTACTTTTTAAAGATTTATTTACTTATTTGAAGGGCAGAGTTACAAAGAGGCGGAGGGGGAGGGAGGGGGAAGGGGTGGGGGAAGAAGGGAGGGAGAGAGAGGGATAGAGGAGAGAGGAGAGAGAGAGGAGACAGAGAGGGGGAGGGAGGGCGGGAGAGTCTTCCATCTGATGCTTCACTCCCCAAATGTCACAGCAGCTGGAGATGGGCCGATCCGAGCCAGGAGCCAGGAGCTCCCTCCCGGTCTCCCACGTGGGTGCAGGGCCCAGCACTTGGGCCATGTTCCTCTGCTTTCCCTGGCCCCAGCAGAGAGGCGGTTTCGGAAGAGGAGCAGCCGGGACTAGCACCGGCACCCACAGGCAATGCCGGCCCTGCAGGCGGTGGCTCCACCCGCTGGGCGCAGCGCCTGCTCTTCCTACCTGCACTTCTAGGAGCAGGACTCCTGCAGCGAGTCCCCTTCTCCGTGAACGCAGAGCAGAGGCAGAGCGGAGACAGCTTCGGGGCCCTCACTCCAGACCGGGAACTGGCTGGGCTGGGAACTCCATCCACAGCCAGGAGCCGGCTTGACCCAGGCACCCCCCCCGGGGGGCGGGGCAAGCACCCACCCTCCTTAAAGAAACTTAAAACACAAGACTGACTGGTTTGGAAAGTGGAGAAGCAGAGATCGTCCACTCCCCCAGAGGACAGCGGCAGTCGGCCCCGGGGCTCCTCGCGGGCCTGCAGGGCATCATCTGTGTGACGGAACCGGTCTAACCGTGCACATTACCTCCCGCCTTTTATTTGCATTCTAAAAAGTGCATAAATTCCGCCTGCGCCGCCGGCACACCGGGTTCTAGTCCCGGTCGCCCCTCTTCCAGGCCAGCTCTCTGCTGTGGCCAGGGAGTGCAGTGGAGGATGGCCCAAGTGCTTGGGCCCTGCACCCCATGGAAGACCAGGAGAAGCACCTGGCTCCTGGCTTCGGATCAGTGCGGTGCACTGGCTGCGGCAGCCATTGGAGGGTGAACCAACGGAAAAAAAGGAAGACCTTTCTCTCTGTCCACTTTGTCAAAAAAAAAAATTAAAAATAAAAAAAATAAAGTGCATAAATTACACCAATAAAACCCTAGGTTTTCTAGCTTATTTAAGGAAGGGGATAGCCGGTGGGGGAGACTGTCTCTCCCACCATGGACACCCACCAGGCCAGAGGCGCAGGCAGACAGGAACTCGGTCCAGGCCTCTCACAGGGGAGGCAGAGACCACAGGGCGCTGGAGCAGCAGGAAGCAGACCAGGAGCTGGGGCCGGGACTGACCCCGGGCACCGGTACGGCACGCTGGCGTCACAAGCAGGGAGTGGGAGAGGCCCTTGCCCCCGCCGGCTGCCCCTTTCTGCCACCCCCACAAAGGAAGCCCGTGCGGCTCTCCACCAGCAGTGCCCGGGGCCGCCACGCACCGCCCCCTCGGCCCCGGTCCTTCTGCCGCGTCCACCTGTGGCCACACGCGTGCTCTTCAGAGCTGCTGGGCCGTGAGGCAGGCGCGACCCTCAAGGAAGCACGAAGCTGCTGGGGACAGCGTGGCAGGCGGCCTCTTTCCCGGGCCGGACGGGCGCTGGACCGTGAGCCGCGTCGCGCCGGACTTGAACCTGCAGCCCCTTAGGATGCACGGTGCCCGCCGGCCGCGCCTCTCCTTCCCGCTCACTCCCGACGTGGGTCCTGCCACCTGCCGGGTGCCCACTCCTCGCCTGCTATTGCGAACAGCAGGGAGACTTCCTGAGTCCTGCTTCTTCCTGGCTCCCGGGGTCTCTGCTCCGAAGCGTCCCTGTTCACACGGGGTGTCGGTGTCCGCCCCCGACACACGCTCGCGAGGTGAAGTCGGTCACAGCGAACGCGCAGCCGGCACCTGGGACGGTGTTGTCGCCGGCCGCTGGCCGCAGGGCGAGCCCGAGGTGTGGAGAGGCAGGGGAGACACGGCGTCCCACCTGCAGTCGTTACGGACACCTGGGGACCACGACGCGAGTGTCCGCAGGGCTGGGGAGAGCCAGGCGAGCCGGAGGCCCAGAGAGGCCGTGTCCACGCAGGGGCGGGTGCGGAGGCCCCCGCTGCAGAGGGCCAGCACCCCTGCGCCCGTCTGGTTCCTGAGGCCCAAGCAAGGGACAAGGGGTCGCTAGGAACAAAGAACCAGGCTTTATTTCTGCTGTTATTTTTAATACAGGTATTGTATTGTAGACATCTGTCAGTCTCAATTCAGTATGGCTGACTCGGACAAACCCAAGTCTAAACCAGCCGGGGCCGGGGTCGGGGTTGGGGGCGCAGACTCCCACCCTCGGCTGGCCCGACACACGCTGCGAGCAGATCAAACACCACCCTAGGAAGAACCCACCTGGCGCCCTCTCCTTGGCACTGAGTGGCATCCAGGAGGAGATGGCGTGACCGTGGGTGGGAGGGAGACGCCGGCCGGCAGGAGACGAGCGCCACCCGCGCCGGGCTTCCCTGAGGCAGGCGGAAGGGGCCGTCTCCTCTGGCGGCGCCAGTTCCTGAGAACACGAGACAGTCTCTTCCGACACAGGCCCGCCCCGCCGGCTGTCCCAGGGCTTCCCGTGACTCCGCATGCCTGGAGAGCGAGGCTGGCTCGGGACCTCGGGGCTTCCCCACCACTTAGGGTGAGAGTAAACAGGAGATAAGGCAGCAGACATTTGATTCTTTTATTTCCATATGCAATGTGTTGTTTAGGCACGCTGCTCGGGACGCTGTTTCTAAAAAAATTGTTGGCCATTTCTCAGAATCCTTTTGGTGGTAAATACTGGTCAGGAAAACAAATGATGTAAAAATACGTGAATAACTTTCTATTACAGAAAAGAAAAACTGACTTCCATCTAGAAGTGCAGGAGGGGAAGTGAGCCGACCCCCCGACGGCAAGGGGCAGGGGCAGTATTGCTTCAGCTGTCAGAAGGCTGCGACGCGTTGTTACAGACATAGAAAATTATAAATTACACGGAATTAGTATCCATAATCACTATATATATACACAAACCAGCTCTAAAAAATACACTGGTTTAGAGTTTACGAGCGGAAGCCTCACAAGGACAGAGGGACGGGGCATGCTGGGCGCCGGACTCCCGCGCTGCCGTCCGAGTCAGGCCTGCGGCGCCGGGGCCCGGCTCTGGCGGCAGCGCGGGCACGTCCGGGGCCTGGCCGACCGGACCGCGCGGGCTGATCTGCGGGCCGCTCTGCAACGTTCACTGGGGATACGGTTAACTGGGAAATTCTGGTGAATGGGTTAACAGGCAGATGAGCTACCAAAACCAAACCAAACCAAGAAACCCAAATAAACCCAAACCAGAGGCACACACACTCCAGTGTCCTAGTGTCTCACCTGTAGGGGTAATCAGTTCAAGCAAACAAGACTTAACGGGACAGATGGCTTACAGTGCCGCCAGTTACCAACTAAGCTGTAGCAATAAATACCGCATCTACCAACACACTTACATGTTTGATCCGTTTTAAACAATACAGAAAACGATTACCAATCAAAAACTGGTTATAAAAAGAACACCAAATAGTTCTTATTCCAAATCACTTCTGTAAGAACAACCAAAATAACACTTAGAGGGAGCTTCGACTCCACAACTCCTTGCCAACCTGGAAGAAAAACGAGTCCGGAGTTTTGTACAAGTGAAAAATGTATGAAAATCGCCTAATGCTTTGGTCACACTAATAACTGTCAAATAGTTATGTTTCAAATACAATAGATCTGTGTATTCACTTTTATAAAACTATTCTTACAGCCATTTGAACTATAGATTACGACTATTATTCCATGGGCGGCAGGGTCTTATTTCACAGGCTACCCGTCATTTAGAACAATACAATATAAACATACGGAAAAACTCTTGGTATTTGTCAATGTGCAACATTTTACACTTCTGGATTTCTCTGTACAGCGTCTCAAATCTAGAGCGGGAGGTCGCTGGTCCTGATCCCTTGCGGAGGGAGTGCAGCAGTGGGGCGGGCCCCCGGCCCTCCAGGCCCCGGCGCGGGCTCCGCAGTCCTCAGTCAGCAGCGGACGTCGCTCATCATACAGGGCCGTTCACCGACGCGTCCCCCGGCACGCGCGGCTGCTCGGGCCTGGGGAGTGAGACACCGACACCTGAGGGCTGGAACAGCGAGGCGGGGAAGGCGTCTGCCCTCGCTCGGCTGCCGGCAGGGACGCGGCACCACCCCGGGCCGGACCGCGGGTCGCGGACAGCCTGTGCCAGGACCCAGCCGGCCCCGTGGAGGTACAGCAGTGGATTTCAGAAGGGTGCCCCCCAGAGCCCTCCGGAGGACTGGAATCCGCAGAGAATTCTACGTGACACAGGATTCTGCCAGTAGGGAACGGGAGAGGCAGCAATGGCTGCAAACCAGGCGGCTGTGGGGACGCGGCGGGGAGCACACGGGACAGGAGAGGCGGGCAGCGCCCCAGCCCAGCACTGACCCAACGCCAAGTCCCGCCCGCTTGCCCGAATCACCAGCGGGACACGTCAGGTGGTCTTCAAGGCTTTACCAGGAGACCGGGACAACACCACGCTCAGCTACAACCGGACCCCCCCCCACCAGCATTTGAATTCACAACTGGGCTGCCTGCAGTCACCTGACACCGGCTGGCTGCGCCAGAGCGCCCCCAGGCCACTTCCACAAGACGACCCTCCCTACTTGTCCCAGAGACAGAGGCCGGGAGGCCGCGGGCGGGACACAGCAGGCTCCAGCTCTCTCAGCTCTGCCTTCTCCCCAGCGCGGGGTCCCTGGAGAGGCGGTGCAGGGGCGGCGTGGGAGGGGCTGGCCACCAGCCCGCTGGGCTGCAGTTCTAAGCTGCTGCCAATGCGCAGGACCACAGGATCTGGGGTGCCAGGAACGTGGGGACAACGCGGGAGCGTCACCACTGCCACTCCCAACATGCAAGTGCCACTCGGGACACAAATGGGGAGCTGAGCTGGGCTCCGTGGCAAAGCCCCCTGCCCCTTCCTCCCACGTCTCCACCACAGCCAACGCTCCAACAGTTCCCACAAGGCTGTGCACGCCTGCCAAGGCTGCCATCAGACGCAGGCCGCTTCTCTAGCTCCCGAGAGAGGGTGGAAGCAGCGCTGGCTGCGCTGTGAGCAGGCTTCAGCCAGCGAGCGGTGAGTGCCCCCGCTGGCCCCGCTGGGCAGGATGCAGGGAGTGTGGCAGAGCTGCCCGGGCCGGGCCGGACAAAGGACTCCTCTCACGCTGCTTTAAAGAGCACCGTGTGCCTCGAGGAAGGAACAACCGGAGATGCACGGAACCAGGAGCGCGAGTCTGGTCCGGGGCACCCCCTCTTCCGGCACGCGCCCTCCGCGCCACTCGGCTCTGGGAGTGGGGTCTCCACACTTACTCGGGACAAGAGAAATTCTCTGGGGGAAAAACCGGCCACCCACACAGGGGATCATTTCAGAGGGAGAATGTTCTGTTACATACACACAAGGCCTCTGGGCGAGCCCCTCCGCGTGTCTGCTGTGTGTCCGGCAGGGGGCACTGTGGGAGAGCAGGCCTCAAGACCTGCTGCCACCGGGCAGCTGAGTGGTCTTCCAGGCCAATGAGGACCCCAGCCCTGGAGCGGAAAGTACCACCCTTCAACTTAGGGAGGGGGACAAGCCGACCCTCCCATTCCCAGAGATGTCTACACAGCCAGGGATATAAGTGACTCTAGGGCCGGCGCACTGGCCTTGATGTCTGCTGCCCCCACCCCAGTGCTGAGGCCTCCCAACCCCCAGAGACGAGAGCTAACGCCCGAGCGAGGGTGTGGGCGGTCTGAGGACACGGGCCGTTACCTCTGCTCGGGACTACTGCTGGGGGGCCGGGGGCCCGTGCGCTTGGCTTCCGCCGTCTCGGGGCTGTCCTCCGCGTCTTTACACGCAGCGTCTTGCGAGGTAGAGAGTCTGCCTTCCTCACTGCAGGAGAGAGGGAGACGCACGTCGCACGCGAGGAGCAGGGCCTGGGGCCCGGCGGGGCGGGTCACATGCAGATGGCTCTGGTCATGACCGTCACGGTAGCACGGCCCTAGGGCTGAGCATGCTCAGGGGCGGCGAGCACAGTGGGGACACAGACGGGGGCCACACGCGGGGAGCCGGGAGGGGACGTGAGGCAGCTGGAGTCGGAGGGGCGTCCGTGTCACTGTACATACCGATAGGATTTCAACACTCTGAAGCCAAGTGTGCAAAACAGAAAGAGAAATGTACAAGAGTTTCAGAACACTCCAGGAATGAGGAATCGGGGAGAGCTACGTCCCGACTGCACGTGGGCAGGCGGCAGATCGGAGGCTGTCAAAGGAACCTGTTTGAAGGAGGGTCTCTGGTTACAGCATCTGCTGGCGGTGCCAAGCCCCCGTCGGGGGGCCAGCGGGAACGCCCGGGCTGCATCACCCGAGTGCCCCCACGCCACGCAGGCAGTAAAGCAGCAGGAAGGGGGAGGGAAGCGCAGACGCTGTCAGGACAGAGAGCGGCCCCAGGACACAGGACGGCGGGAAGTGCGGCCCCTCACCTCCGCCCGGATGCCCACTTCCGTACCAGGTAGCACATCAGCCCCCGAGGGGAAGCGGTCGGAGCCTGAGTCCCCACCCTGCAGAGTGCGTCCCGACCGGAACCCCGAGCGCCCACTGCACCGAGCAGGGTGTACCGGCAGTGTCGGCGGACCAGCTCTGTGCTCACTTTCGAGGTCTGGGGTGAGAGCAGTCCCAAACCGTTGATAGTCTGATGTATTTTGTGAATGGTACTTAGCTATTATAGTACACTTTTGTTACTCATTACTTCTTTTAAAAAAGATTTATTTATTTATCTGAAAGTCAGAGTTGGAGGAGGACAGACAGACTGACCTTCCATCCACTGGTTCACTCCCCAAACGCTGCACCAGCTGGTCTGAGCCGGCTGCAGCCAGGAGCCAGGAGCTTCCTCCAGGCCTCCCACGTGGCTGGCAAGGGGCCAAGCACTTGGGCCATCTTCTTCTGGTTTCCCAGGTGTATCAGCAGGGAGCTGATTGGAAGTGGAGCAGCCGGGACTCAAACTGGCGCCCACATGGGATGCCAGCACTGCAGGCGGTGGCCTAACCCGCTGCCCCACTGCCTGTTACTGAGTGAGGAAGACTTCTTTAGACTGCTAGCTTTGCTGCTTGCTACTGATATATCTGTATCTGTTGTTTCCCTCTTCTCTGATTTCCTGTTCTTCCCAGGAGTGCCTATACACTTTCACGGCCACGGACATTCTTCCTCAGTCCTTATTTTAAAATGAATACATCTTAGGGCCGGCTGTGGCGTAGCAGGTAAGGCCACCACCTGCAGTGCCGGCATCCCATGTGGGTGCCGGTTCGAGTCCCGGCTGCTCCACTTCCGATCCAGCTCTCTGCTGTGGCCTGGGAAAGCAGTGGACGATGGCCCACGTGCTTGGGCCCCTGCACCCACGTGGGAGACCCAGAGGCGGCTCCTAGCTCCTGACTTCAGAACAGCACAGCTCTGGCTATTGCAGCCAACTGGGGAGTGAACCAGCGGATGAAGACCTCTCTCTGCCTCTGCCTCTCTGTAACTCTTTCAAATAAATAAATAAATCCAGGAGCCAGGAGCTTCTTCTGGGTCTCCCACGTGGGTGTAGGGGCCCAAGCACGTGGGCCATCCTCCACTGCTTTTTGGAGGCCATCAGCAGGGAGCTGGCTATGAAGTGGAGCGGCCAGGACACAAGCTGGTGCCCATATGGGATGCTGGCACTGCAGGCGGCGGCTTCACCCACAATGCCACAGTGCTGACCACTAATCCCTGCTGAGATTCCTGCATGTAGCTCACTGGTAAGTGACGCGAGCTGATCCTGTCCTGTGATCAGCCTTGTTTCTGGAATCCAGATGCCACTGCCTGAGGACAGGCCTTGCAGCGCCGCAGGCTAAGCTGTGGTGCCTGCACGCCTGTCAGAGCCAGCGAAGAGTGTCAGCTGCTCCCTTGGCAATCTCGCCTCCTGCCGACGCACCTGCGAAGGCAGCACAAGACGGCCCAGGTCCTGAGCCCCTGCCACTGATCCGTGGGGTGTGGGAGACCTGGGTGGAGCTCCTGGCTCCAAGCTGTTGCAGGCGTTTGTGGAATGAGCCAGTGGATGGAAGCGCTCTCTCACTTCTCATCCCCATACCTTTGTGTCATGCTGCCTTTTAAATAAGTAAACCTTAAAAATTCATTTGCCTTTTTTTAAGGGCAGATTTTGTATTTTCTACAGCGATTAGCAGCCCGACATGCATGAAGCATCCTGTAGCTAACGCGGCGATGGCCCGGGTGCTGGCGAGGCTGCTGTACCGCGTTTGCTCCGCCCCTCGTGCCCTCTGAAACTGGGTGCTGGCGCCCTGTGTCCATCACGAAAGGGCCCCGCTCTCCTTCCCAGCATCAGTCCCACTGACCGGTGGAAGTGGTCGTCTTCATTTTACAGTGTCTTTAGGGGACTTTAAAAAGTAACTAAAGTCAAATTTGCCAATATTTTCCTTTTCTATCTGGCTTTTTATTGTTAAAAAAAGGCTTACCCCCAAACTGTAAAGATATTTTTAAGTTATCTTCTAAAAGTTGTAGTTCTATCTTTCGTATTTATGGAGAAAATTAGCCTATAAATGACTATTTCATGATTCACTTCCAGTCTCGATACTTCTCATCCTGGCTCCCTGCATTTGCTCTGAGCACCGGCCACTGCTGGCAGAACTCGAACGTGTCGCTGCTGAAGACAAGCCCGGCCGTCGGTTTCCTGCAGACACTCCTGAGTCTCACGTAGTTACTCTGTTCAGAGACCAAAGTCGTGAACAGCTTCAACTCTTATCAAACACCTCCCGCGGTCTGAAGCCTGCGAACTGCCCCTAAGAGCCGCCACCAGTCACTCACTGTGCAGCACCGACGCCACCCTCACGCCTTGCAAGCACACTGCTGGATGTGGTCTGCTGCTTTTAGTCTCGAGTAAATTCCCTCTGCGGGAATCGGCCTGCAGCCAAGGCTTCTGCGTAGTGGCCTCGCGACAGCTGGGAACCAGCCCTTCCCCACCCGTCACGAGAGGGTCATGCAAGGTGCAGGCCTCCTTGCCGTGTGCGAGTGCGGACAAAAGCTTCGTCCTTACTCTCTCAGGCTCTAAGTGTTGAATTCCCACCATGAATCCCGTTTTGACCCTCAGTCTGCAAGCTGGTTTTGTTGTCACTTTGCTGTTGGCACTCTGTCCAGAGACAGCCATCAGCAGGTGACCGAACCTCTGCTTGGGCTGGGCCATGCTCTGCAGCCTCCAGTCAATTAGTTTCTTGTGACCAAAGACTTGTCAATTCTCATAATCCTACCAACCCACTGGTCTTAAAACACAGACGCTCCCTGACTTGCAGCCCAGTGGGATGAGAAGGCAACACAGGGCACTGAGCAAAGCCAGCAGTCCCCTCTGCGGTCTCGGGGCTGACCGGGCGCTATGCTCACTGCCACGGCCCGGAATCTGGGACAGGACTGAAAGACACACCAGCAGTCCAGGAAAAGGTAAGAACCCTGGATTTGAAGTCCCGTTTCTACTGAATGTACACTGCTCCTGCAGCGTCCTAAGTCAGAGGCCTTCTGCAGTCTCTGGGCCAACATGGCCCATCTGTCACATTTGCTGGCGGAGATGTTAGAAGACACCACGCTAGTTTCTGAACACTCGACTGCATTAACTGAAACATTCTCATGTGTGACATTTCTCCCCGAGACCCTCCCAACAGCCACGGCTGACCGGCGCACCCGGCCCGGCTACCTTTTGAAGACCGCGGTCTCCGTCTTGGCGTCCACAGTGAGGCTGAGTGTCTCCTTCATGCCGCCGTTCATCACCGTCTCGGTCACCTTGTCTGTACTTTCTGCATCCTCCTCTCCGTCAGAGCTGGCTTCCATGGCCACGCTGCCTGCCGCTGATGAGAGCAGATGGACGCTAACCCCCAGGAAGCGCCACCTCCTCTGTGCAGACTCCTCTCCCCGGAGAGCGAGGAGGCTGACACGGCCTGCCTGCTGTTCCCAGCCCGGGCTGCCCAGGAATGCCCACCAGACTGGTCACCGGTCTCCTGCATTAGAGGCCTGGGCGCGCCTCAGCCCCAGCACAGCGGCACCCGTGAAGCCTTTCCCAGCAGGTGCAGCCGCTCCCATCTGCCCAAGCCCAGCAAGGCAGGCTGCCGCCTCGCTCCGCCCCACCCACTCGCTTCCTCTGCGTGTCCTTCGATCATTCCCCGGTTCCACAGCAGGAGGCCACGGGGCACAACGGTTAGGGGCCAGCTTCACCACTTCCTTACTGTGGACCGCTGGGCCAGGAAGCTCCTCCATGCCCACCCAAGGGGACGAGTGACTCTTCTGAGAAACACTGGGGATAAAGGAGGCCACCTGTTCCAACGGGCCAACACGGTGGCTCCACTCCTTCCCTAGGCCCCCACCCCATCCTCACCCTTTTCCAATGACTGGCTTCTCTGACCCCTCCATGTACTTCCAATTTCCCATCACGCCCCTTGCTAATCCTCCCCACCCCCAAAGCCTCCACTAACCGGTGCAGAGCAGTTCAGGCCCAATGAAAGGACAGAAGTGAACACCACGGGCAGTCTACAGACACCAATGGCCATGTCACTGGCTCCTAAAGCTGAGAAGACAGCCCCCAGGCTGAGCAGGCCAGACCTAGCCACGCCCTCCGGCCAAGCAAAGTCCTTGAGGTGACTGGGCCCCACCTGGAGTGGCCGTGCCCACCTGACCGTCCCCCGGGTGCTGCAGGAGAAGCCGTTCTCCTTCCTGGCCCCAGCGTCCTGCGTGCACAGTGACGGTGCAGCCAACTCGGACCCTCACTCTTCCAGAATCAACGCGCTGCCTGTGGTTTCGGGGCAGCGGCTCTGCGGCTGTCAGGCTCACTGTCCTGTCTCCCGGCCTGTGGTTTCGGGGCAGCGGCTCTGCGGCTGTCAGGCTCACTGTCCTGTCTCCCGGCTGCTCTGGGCCCCAAGCCCGGGAGCCGAGCCTGTTCTACAGACCGGCTCTGCAACTCACCCTCTGGCTGTGCGGCCAGCGCGGACACACTGGGAGTCAGGGGGTCCAACGTGTCAGTGCTGGTTTCCATCTCCACTGGAGAATTGCTCCTTAAAGAATCTTTGGTGCTTTCAAGAAAAGACGGAGTCCAGATGTCAGCAGCAGGGAACAGCCCTCAGTAAACCATCATTCACAAGCAACACTGTCTGCCGGGAGGAGCACGGGGTCTGAGCACGAGTGGGCGCTGGGGCGGGGCTTCAGAGCAGATCTGGGGCAGGCCTGGCCGGGGACAGTCCTCACTCAGACCTGCAGGCTCCAGGCCCGGCCGGGGACAGTCCTCACTCAGTAACTGCTGATCTACTACTGGGGTTGAGCACTTTACAAAGACCCTTCCTGCCTGGGAGAACTGGCTTCTCAGCCGTGACTGCTTGAATCACTGTGGTGGGTGGGGACACTCCCACTCCCCTGCTGCAGCAGTCCTCGGCCAAGCCCAAAACTGGAACACGGACGGCATTACTAGGAGCAAGTTGCCAACAAGCCAAGGGCACTCACAGAAAATACCACAAGGGACCAGCATCAGGGCACAGCAGGTTAAGCCACACCTGAGATACAGAGTCCCATGTGGGCGCCAGTTCAAGTCCCAGCTGCTCCACCTCCATCTCCATCCAGCTCCCTACAAATGGCCTAGGAAAAGCAGCAGAAGATGGCCCAGTGCTGGGCCCCTGCACCCACGTGGGAGACCTGGAAGAAGCTCCTGGCTCCTGGCTTTGACCTGGCTGAGCCCTGGCCATTGTGGCCATCTGAGGAGTAAACCAGCAGATGGCCAGTTCTAGTCCCGGCTGCTCCACTTCTGATCCAGCTCTCTGCTATGCCCTGGGAAAGCAGTGGAAGATGGCCCAGTCCTTGGGTCCATGCACCCACGTGGGAGACCAGAAGAAGCTCCTGGCTCCTGGCTTCAGATTGGCACAGCTCTGGCCATTGCGGCCAACTGGGGAGTGAACCAGCGGATGGAAGACCTCTCTCTCCCTCCCCCCCCCCCCCCCGCCTCTCTTCTCTCTGTGTAACTCTTTCAAATAAATAAATCTTTTTTTTTTTTTTAAAAAGGAAGAAATAAAGAAAATAACACGAGGTGGGAACCTGACTGTCTTGTACTGGAGCAAGGCTGATGAAATAATCCCCAATGTTTTGGGGACGTTTTCCACTTGCAAGACAAATCTCACTCACGCCTCCGAACTGTGGTTCCAAGATATGATCACCGCTATGATGCTCTCTGGTGGTCTGAGACGGTAACGAGCCACTCACAACAGGGGTCTCCTACCTCCTGCATCTCCAGCAGTTGTTTATAAACGTTACTCATGAAAACAGGGAAGTCAGCAGTGGCTCAAGCGGGGGGCTGGGGACCATTGTTCAGTAGACAAACACACAGTGTATGAAGCTAAGTCTAACGAGACTGACAGTTTCTGTGCTGACAGATCTGCCCCGCCCTTGACTCACAGCACTGGGCGAGTTACAAGTGGAATGCGAATTCCCGCTCTCTACTGCATTCCAGCTCCGCTCCGCACTGTCCCGCCATGCTGCCCGGAGGCCCTCAGGAATCTCGGCCTCCTCGCGCTCTCTGTCCCCACGGCTCAGAACCAGAAGAGCCCAGAGGTCCTGTCCTGGGACCTCATGGCCAGGTGGCTTCACCTCGTGCCTCCTGGGGGAGGGCAGGGACTGGCTGCGTCTCTGAGGACGCAGGGCTGTCACACTGGCGCCCAGGCTGTCCGTCTCCTTGACGACACCGCGTCTAACCGAGGAGCACAGGACGGTGCCGGCCGCTCCCAGTGGATGGCTCGAAAGCACGCGCGTGCGCTCACCTGAGGGACGACGTGAACTCTGTGAACGACGCCCAGCCCGTCTCTTTCGCTGGCATGGGCTCCTCTGTGCTCCACACGTCAGACCCCACCGAGTCTAAGGGCGCCCCGTGGGTGGTCTCCATTGGGACGTCGAAGTTGGCTGACCAGCTGGCTGCTAGAAGAGGGGGGATTTCACTGGAGCCCCTTGCAGTAGCTTAAGTTCACTGACGGTATTTCCCAAAACAGTCAGGCAAGGACGAGATGAGAGAACTGGGCTGGAAACACAGGCGTGCAGAGGCACACCCACCCAGAGGAGCCGGCAGCCTGCGCGCCTGAGCGACCAGGGCTGTTTCCTGGGCCCCTGCGCTGGGCTCAGCACGGCCACCTCGCCCTGTCTGCAGCCGAGCGCTCTCTGTGCCGTCCTAAGAGCTGCCCTCTCCCTCGAGCTGACTAATCCGCCTGGCCAGGGAGGTCTGTGCAGAGCAGCTCCACGGCACCGTTCTCAGCGCCCTGCTGCTCATCTCCCCACCCCCATCCCTGGCAGCAGGGTCTCGGGCAACTTGTCCACAGTCCCATCACTAGCATGTGGCCCAAGAGCTTGATGGGAACTGAATTACAGAGGAAAGTCTGCTCCCCCTCCTCCCGGGGAGGGGCCCTGGGTCAGAGGCATCCAGTGGAGGCCTGCTGGATGGTCAGGAGGGTCCACTCGGCTCCCAGGTTCTGACAAGATCTGCCCCTGGGTGGGTTAGGCCTCTGAGGCGGGGTGGGAGGGATGGTGTTGTGGCACAGCAGGTGAAGCTGCCACCTGCGACGCCAGCATCCCATGGTTAGCGTCCCAGCTGTCCCGGTTCCAATTCAGCTCCCTGCTTATGCTCTTAGGAGAGCAGCCAAAGATGGTCTAAGTGCTTAGACCCCTGCCACCTAGGGAGAGGCCGGAGGGAGGGCCAGGCTCCGGGATGGAACCAGTGCACAAAAGGTGCCCGTTTCTCCTCTCTGTAATTGTGCCTTTCAAATAAATAAATTAAATCTTAAAAATAAATAAATAAATAAAAAAGGCTTTTCAGGGTACTAGAAGCTGGTCAGGATGGGGGAACCTGGACGGCTCCTTCACACGTCCACTCTGGTGAACTCTCAAGTCTGGCTAGCGTCAACCTTCACGGCGAGCAGTGGACACGCGTCAGGGCTCCACGTCTCAGGTGACCCAGGAAGAGCGTTAAGACTGTTCAAGCTGTCAGTTGCTTGCTCTGGTTTATTCTGTTCATGATTCTAAAAACAGTTTACTTCCTGTCTTCTACGGCCCCGGTCTTTTCCTTCCTACGCCATCGGACGCTCTCTGTAGCCAGAGGAGTGACTGCCAGCATGCAGATTCACGGACCGTCTCCTCGAAGGCAGGGCCAGCTCCTTCCCTCAAGCCTGCTCCCTCACTTACCCTCCAAGAGGGACTCACACGGTGTGCTCCAACCCCACGTGCCCGCAGCCAATACGAACCCCAGCACACCACCAAGCAGGTGGAAGAACACCCAACTCACGTTCGCTCAGGTCCACCTCCATCTTGTCCTCTGTGCCGGCCCCACCGGATTCAAACAAGTCCTGCTTGGCGCCATCCTCCTCTTCAGAGTCTGTGCTCTCCTCACTGTCTGTGCTCCCCGAACTGGGAAGAAGGACCAACACAGTTAATGCTGCTTTCCCACTAGTAAGTGCAGAATGCTCTACAGGTGACCCAGCAACAGAAAATCCCACTGCACTTTACCCGCACGGCGTGGCCTGTGTGTGCTGCCTAACCGTTAAGGCAAGTCACAAAAGTAGACAGCTGAGGCTGGTGCCGCAGCTCACTAGGCTAATCCTCCGCCTGCGGCGCTGGAACACCAGGTTCTAGTCCCGGTCGGGGCGCCGGATTCTGTCCCGGTTGCCCCTCTTCCAGGCCAGCTCTCTGCTGTGGCCCAGGAGTGCAGTGGAGTATGGCCCAGGTGCTTGGGCCCTGCACCCATGGGAGACCAGGAGAAGCACCTGGCTCCTGCCTTTGGATCAGTACAGCTCCGGCCGTAGCGGCCATCTGGGGGGTAAAGCAATGGAAGGAAGACCTTTCTCTCTGTCTCTCTCTCACTGTTCACTCTGCCGGCCACAAAAAAAAAAAAAAGTGGACAGCGGAACTACTGTCCTAACGGCAGCCGTCGCCCAGGGCGCTGTGGACCATACAGGGTTCATCAGTGCTTTCCTCCAGACCAGAACGAGGGCAGCGTCTCCTCACAGCTTCTCTGCCACCCGCGTGTCTGTTTTCCTGAGCGCCTTTCCCCACTGCTGGCGCATTTTAAGAACCAGGCTGCCATTTCTGAGTAGAGACTTCTGAACTCTCCCACGACTCCTGTATCAGATGTGATCAGCAAATCCTTCTCTCCAGGTGCTGTCTGTCTTCATTCTCAACAGCACTGAAGAGAAGGTTCACATTCTGGTTAAGTGCACTAAAATCTCTCCTGGATGTACATGTGTTTGGGGACGTGTCCACGGAATGCTGCCTAACCCAGGTTACGACTGCTTCCTCGCCCGACTCCTGCAGTTTCACATTCTGCATGCTGCGTGCAGGCGGAGGTGTGGCCTGAGGCCCTCTGTCAGGCATGGGCGAGCAGCCGCCCAGCTCCGCGGCCAGAAAGCCCGGCCGTTCTCCACGGCATTGCCTTTGCCTCTCAGGAACGTCGGCTGTCCACGTGGGCACCCTGCCCATCCTCCAGTCCTGCAGTTCTTCACGCACATGGACTTGGCTACTCCAGGTCCTTGGCACTTTTTGTACTTGTATGAATCAACTTGTTAAAGAGTTCCAAAAAGCCTATTAGGATTTCTTTAAAAATTTATTTATTTATTTGAAAGGCAGAGTTACAGCCTCACACACGTTGTTACATTTATCCCTACATGTTTAATGTTTTTGATGCAACTTTGAATATTATTTAGTAATTTCATTTCCAACTGCTTGTTGCAGAATACAGAAATGCAATTATACTGATTTTGTATCATTCAGCCTTGCTAACCTGACTTTAATTATTCAGGGAGTCTTTTTGGAGGTTACATCTATACATACAGTTTTACTTCTTTACATATAAATTAGATTTTCCCCCCAAAACATTGGCTATTTTTTAAATTTATTTATTTGAGAGGAAAAATTACAGAGGTCCTCCATCTGCTAGTTCACTCCCTAAACTGCCGAAGCTGGGCCAAGTTGAGGCCAGGAGCCAGGAGCTTCATTCAGATCTCCCATGCGGGTGCAGGGACCCAAACACTTGGGCCATTTTCCTCTGCTTTCCCAGGCCATCAGCAGGAAGCTGGATTGGAAGAGGGGCAGCCGGGAAACAAACTGGCGCCCACACAGGACGCTGGTGCTGCAGGAGGCGGCTTAGTGCAGCATGCCGCTGTGCCAGCCCCGTTTTCTTTTTAAATAGCCTCTAGTACTGTCCTAAAAAAGCGGCGTGAGCAGACACCCTGGCTTGTTCCTGGTTTTAGCGGAAATTATTCAGTCTTCTGTTAAGAATGATGTAGCCATTAAAGTATTTTGTAGATGCCTTAACTGGCTGAAGAAATTCCCTTCTATTCTTCATGTGCTCCGTTTCATATTTTGAAACCAGAAATGGATGTTGGACTTGGCTGCTGCCTGGTTATGAGGTATGATTGTTGTAGCCGACTTGCTCAAACGTTTAAAGATGTTTCTGTGGGTGTGCACTTGAGAACCCTTAGCCAGCTCTCTTGTTTCACAACGTTCGCTGTGGCTATCGGGCTAACCGATGCAGACTCTGATTAGATGGGTGATGTGTCCTCCTTTTTAGTCCTCTAAGGGTCTGCACCTGCTCCTGAAACACGGCCGGGTTTCTTCAGGTCACCTGAGCTCCACTGGCAGAGTTGTTCATCATTCCATTGTCCTTTTCATCTTCTTTTTATTTATTGGAAACTCAGTTCCAAGGTAAGAGAGAGAGATTGATCTTCCATCTGCTGGTTCATCCCCCAGATGGCCACAATGGCCAGGCCAACGTCAGAAGCCAGGAGCTTCATTTGAGTCTCTGATGGGTGGCAGAGGCCCAGGGACTTGGGCCTTCTTCTGCTACTTTCCCAGGCCATTAGCACGGAGCTGGATTGGAAGTGGAGCAGCTGAGACTTGAACCAGGGCCCATATGGGATGCCAGCGTCGTGGATGGCAGCAGCTTTATCTGCTACGCCACAATGACAGCCCTCTTTTTAATATCTGTAGAATCTATTGTGATGTCATCTATCTACTGCTTTTTTTTTTTTTTTACAGGCAGAGTGGACAGTCAGAGAGAGACAGAGAGAAAGGTCTTCCTTTGCCATTGGTTCACCCTCCAATGGCCGCCACGGCTGGCGCACCACACTGATCTGAAGGCAGGAGCCAGGTGCCTCTCCTGGTCTCCCATGGGGTGCAGGGCCCAAGCACTTGGGCCATCCTCCACTGCACACCCCGGCCATAGCAGAGAGCTGACCTGGAAGAGGGGCAACCGGGACAGAATCCGGTGCCCTGACTGGGACTAGAACCCAGTGTGCCGGCGCCGCTAGGCGGAGGATTAGCCTGTTGAGCCGCGGCACCAGCTCTATCTACTGCTGATGTTAGAAATTTCTGGCTTGGGATTTACTAACTCTATGGATCTCCTCAAAGAATACTTTTGGGGCCGGCAGTGAGGCACAGTGGGATATAAGCTGCTGTCTGCAGTGCCAGCATCCCATATGGGTGCTAGTTCTAGTCTCGGTCACTCTGCTTGCAATCCAGCGCCCTGCTAATGTGCCTAAGGAAAGCAGCAGAGGCTGGCCCAGGTCCTTGGGCCCCTGCACCCACATGGGAGATCTGGCAGAAGCTCCCGGCTCCAGGTCTCAGCCTGGCCCAGCCTTGGCCGTTGTGGCCATTTGGGGAGTGAATCAGTGGATAGATCTTTCTGTCTCTCCTCTCTCTTTGTAACTCTTTTCAAATAAATAAATCTCTAAAAAAATGCTTTTGGTTTCCCCCTTTTTTTTACATTTCATTGACCTTCACTATAATATTTATTATTTAGTTCTGCTCATCTGGATTCAATTCCTTTATCTAATTTAAATCAAAGCCAAGGTCAATGACCTGAGCTACATCATCTAATACAGCCAGTCAGCATGGAAAACAACTCTAAAGTGCTGCTCCAATGGCACTCCTGATGTGGCAGGTTTCCATATTCTTTCAGTTTAGAATCTGTGGGATCATCTTGACTTCTTTGAGCCTTGTGTTATTTAGTTCCCAACCACCTGCGGATTTCTAACTCCCTTCCATTTGGTCAGCCTTGCTGTGCAGCCTGGACACGGTCAGGTCCCTGCAGGGGGTGCACTCTGGTGCTCTGCAGGTGTGAGGGTGGGGCAGTCAGGGGACGGCATTCCTGCAGTGTTCCTGAGTTTGTGACCTCATCGACCCCTCAGACAGGAGTGCTGGGACGCCTGTCCCCGCGGATCTGTCCCCTTCCCTTGCAGCTCTTGTCCGTGTTCTGGGGCGCAGACTCGTGCAGCTACATGGCCTCTTCATCTTTACGGGGTCCTCCTTCTCCCTAGAATCCACTTTGAAGTGAACGCAGACCTCTCGGCTTTTCTTTTTATTAGTTACCACAGTATATTTTTTCCTTTTGACCTGTTTGCATCCTTAAATTGTTTCTTATAGACAGTGTATAGTCAGGTCTCATTTCTTCTTTTTCAGAAACCCTGCCAGCCTCTGCCTTTTGATTAAAAAAAAATTATTAATTTGAAAGACAGAGTGACAGAGACAGAGATCTTCCACCCGCTGGTTCACTCCCCAAATGCCTGGGCCAGGACAAAACCGGGCGCCAGAAATGCCACCGGGGTCTCCCGTGGGTAGCAGGGCCGGAGCACGTGGGCCCTGTGTGCTGCCTTGCCGGGCCATCAGCAAGGACCTGGACGTGACGTGAAGCAGCGCAGACCTGTCCCGGCCCTGCGACATGGGAGGCCGGGGATCTGATGACCACAGCACAACTCTGCGCCTGATCCCGGCCTTCACAACGGTGCCTGGTGCACCCGCTTAACCCAGTTGGTCCTCTAGATCAGTCTGATTGATCATCTCGCTGTGGTCTCAGGCCCTTTGTTCCTTTCTGAGTTTTTATGATTTTATTTCCCTTATTGGCAAAATAACTCATTTTTCTGACGTCTGGAAGGTTTAGTTTATCAGTTTCTCTTCAAGTTATGTTATGGCCCCAAACCAGAGACAACCCAAGTGTGCACAAGAGAAAAACGACCAAATCAGAGAGTGGACCACCACTCAGCAACACGAAGTGAGGAGCTACTGATCCAAGGGTGACGTGGACGGCCGAGGAGAGCACCAGACAGAACAACCGGCTAAGCCTCCGCTGTGGTGCCGGCAGCCCGTGGGTACTGGGGTTTGAGTCTCAGCTGCTCCTCTTCCGATCAGCTCTCTGCTGTGGACAGCAGTGGAAGATGGCCCAAGTGCTTGGGCCCCTGCACCCACGTGAGAGACCTACCTGGAAGAAGCTCCTGGCTCCTGGCTTCAGATCAGCCCAGCTCCGGCCATTGTGGCCAACTGGGGAGTGAACCAGTGATGAAAGACCTCTCTCTGTCTGTAACTCTAACTCTCAAATAAATAAATAAAATCTTTAAAAAATAACCATGCAGGGCCGGCGCCGTGGCTCAATAGGCTAATCCTCCACCTTGCGGCGCCGGCACACCGGGTTCTAGTCCCGGTCAGGGCGCCGGATTCTGTCCCGGTTGCCCCTCTTCCAGGCCAGCTCTCTGCTATGGCCAGGGAGTGCAGTGGAGGATGGCCCAGGTGCTTGGGCCCTGCACCCCATGGGAGACCAGGAAAAGCACCTGGCTCCTGGCTCCTGCCATCGGATCAGCGCGGTGCGCCGGCTGCAGCGGCGGCCATTGGAGGGTGAACCAACGGCAAAAGGAAGACCTTTCTCTCTCTGTCTCTCTATCTCACTGTCCACTCTGCCTGTCAAAAATAAAAAAAAAATAAAAAAAAAAAAAATAACCATGCAATGCATACTTCCATTTACATAAACTCTAGAATAAACAAACTAGTTGAAAAAGCAAAACAAAGATGGTGGGACAGCAGGAAGGACAAGGCTACTGAAGGGTGTGAGGAAATGTGGAGGTGATGGCTAAGCCCGATTCTGACAGCGAAGGTGGTTTCACCAACGCACACACGCACATTAAACTCACTGCCCATCAGAACTGCCCTGTGTCCTGCCAGGCACGCAGCGCCCCATGCCACGGCCTCCCCTACTCTCTGTGCTTTCTACCCGTGGTGCTCTCAGAGGTCCACTGCACAAGGCCAGGCTGCCTCCAGAGAAACGGCAGTTGGCAAGGCCCACTCATGGAGTCCACTCGACACAGGGACCTGTCTCAGAGCACATGGTGAGAAACAAGTCTGACTGTGCTTTATCTTTTATTTTTTTTTTTAAAGATTATTTTATTTATTTGAAAGGCAAAGTTACAGAGAGAGGTAGAGCCAGAGAGAAATGAGTTTCATTCTGCTGGTTTACTCCCCAAATGACCGCAAAGGCCAAAGCTGAGCTGATCCGAAGCCAGGAACCAGGAGCTTCTTCCAGGTAGGTCTCCCATGTGGGTGCAGGGGCTCAAGGACCTGGGCCATCTTCCACTGCTTTCCCAGGCCACAGCAGGGAGCTGGATGGGAAGTGGAGCAGCTGGGACTCGAACTGGCTCCCATATGGGATGCCCGTGCTGCAGGCTGGGCCTTTAACCTGCTGTGCCACAGCGCCAGCCCCTGGGCTTTATCTTTTAAAAAAGAAAAACCTTCACGCAGATCCTTGTCTCTTGCTGTCTGGCCCTGGAGTTGCGGCAGCTGTGCTGTGACTACAAGGCAAGGAAGCCCCCGCAGAACAGGGTACGCGTGAAAGCAGCCAGGTGTGCCGATCTTGCTGCCTCCCCTTAGCAGCGACATGGACACAGCCGTCTCCTCACTAGGCCGCTGCTCAGTCTTCCCCAGCCCTCGGCAACAGCACAGCTGAGAGAGGCCACTCAGCTGCCCACAGCAGCACTGCAAGAGGCATGGAGGGGCCTGGGGGGGGGGAAGGAGCTCAGCTCCCACCACCTGCCCTCTGGGCCCCTCTTAGTTCTATGCCGCATGAATGCTCACCAAAGATAAATGAAATAAAAACAGAAGTTCACCTGCTATGCAAATCCTCCTTCCCTCTGGTAATGAATACTTATGTGACAGGAACTTACTGCGGACAACTTACTGCAGCTCGTGTGGTTAGAGAGGTTAAAAAGAAACACCGGACTGACCCAGGTGGCTGCCTTAGCTAGTGCCCGGTGAGGGACAGGTCGAAGGCACTCTGTGGTCACACATGTCATGGACGCTGTCTGAACAGCTCTCCAGACCACTCGGGCCATCAGGCACCAACTCCCAGCCGGCAGCAGGGCGCTTCTGGATGCTGGGTCAGACGCCCGGGTCTGGTGGTGACAATGCCCACCTCCTGTCACTCGCTTCAGGGTCGGACAGAAAGGACAGCTCGGAGGGACCCCCACCTGGACCGTCTCTGGGATTCCGGTGTGAACGCAATGTGCTTTTCCTCCCAGATGTCCTCCTCGTCCGAGCCGCCATCATCAAACTGCTGTATCCTCTCCTTGCAGCATGCCTCAAACAGGGCCGCGTTGCCCTAGACGAAGGCACGGCAGAGAACAGGCAGAGGTCAGGCCACATCCTCCCCTAAGTTACCACTGTCAACTGCATTTCCCGTTGCTTTACGCAAAGAACACAACACAACAAAAAGTGCCCGTCATATTCACAAAGGCAGCCGTGGGCCGTGGCCTCTGTGCGCCTGCCCCTGCAAGACTGTGTTCAGAAGCAGCACAGGCCTCCCCTCCTGTGCACTGCCTCTCACCTGCTCACAGACACCGGACTCAAGAGCCCCACCCTGAGACCCGTCCCCAGATCGTCCTAAGGACCAGCAGCCGTGTCCCCAGGCTCTCCCAGGCCAGCAAGGCAGCAGCAGGCTTCGAGAGCCCCCATTTTTCCCTTCCTCCCTCAGCCACTCGAAGTGAGACCAAGACGGTGCCCGCTGGAAAGGGCACCTGCTCCACGTGGGCCTCTCTGCTGAGACACCAAAGGGACAGACTGCAGCCTTCTCCTTGGAGTCCAAAGTGACCCTTGGTTCTAGGAGCACGGTCGTACCTTAAACCAGGGTTGCAACCACACACCCCCCCCCCCCCGGCAGGTGACAGGAGTGCGCGACACGGGAGCCGCCAATCTGGGACGGGGGCTCCTGGCACAGGGGGTGTGCGTGTGGGCTCTGACAAAACCCAGCCCCACTCCTCCCTTTCCCCTCTGCCGGGGCCCAGCAGGAAAGAGTCATACTTACACTTTCATTCGTATTGAGAGTAAAGTTGATGTCTGACACCCGATCAAAAGAAACACTACGAACAAAGCCAAGTGCAGGACTTGTTAATGACTTGACCAGGCTCAGACACAGCATTCACAGAATCCCCAATGTAAAGTATCACACCACCATGACCATCCCCAAGTAAGCACCAACCACACAGACACAACATTCCTGATGTAGACTGATGCCTTCTCCATGCTATCGAGAATCTACACAGGCGGGAGGGCGGGACGGAGAAGACGCTCTCAAAGACCCCTACAGACGACACAAACAACTGTTTCTACGTGTGGGAGGCAGAGAGAACCCATGTATTGGTTCACTCCCCAGATGGCAGCCACAGCTGGGTCTGGGCTGCAGCCGAAGTCTAAGCCAGGAACTCCACCCAGGTGTCCCCGTGGCTGAACAGGAACCCACTCAACTCGCGCAGGCACTGCCTCCCGGGGGCTGGCCGGCAGGGAGCTGAGCCAGAGACAGTGCTGGACCCAGGGGCCCTGACGAGGGACGCTGGTACCTCAGCTGCTGTGAGACATGTCTGCCCACCTATGAAAGGATGTTTGCATCCAGCACAACCATGATTCCATGGGTCACACTAACATAACTAAGAAAAAGAAGAACCAAGAGAAACCACGGAAAGCCAGCTCCAGGCTGCCCGACTGGGCTCTCTGTCCTGGTGTAAACACACAGATGCCCCTGAAATCCTAAGCTGAAATAAAAATAATCCAGGAAGAAAGTGGAGAGTAAAAGGATTCAGTCTGTGAAACGTGACCGTGGGGTAGGTCGGGCTCTTGTAATTTTTACAAGATTTGTCTTCCTCAATCATCATTCCCAGCACCGAGTCACACGATCAGGAGTGTCTGGCTCTTTAAGAACCACACAGGGTGGCGGGGCGTGCAGAGAGACGCGCGGGTTCCGGGGGCTCCGCTGAGGCGCGCAGCGCGCCTGGGCACACTCCTGGCAGGCAGAACTCCCTGTGGCGAGCTCTGCCCTCCCTGCAGGGCAGTGACCGGCCTTTACTCCTGCTCTGCTTACAGTGGACCTGTCCCACGGGGCACAGAGCGTACTCTAAAACACTACAGCTCCTCTCGAGCCGTGACGGCCTTTGCTGGCTACAGTTCAACACGTGGATGAGAGCTGACAGCTCCCCAGGGCCCACAGCACAGTGGGTGCTCACGGGCACAATCGGAGTCTCCTCGCTGCCTAATCAGCCAACATTCGAGTACCAGCTGCCTCAACTCTTCCTTTAACTGTCCTCAATGGGCAGTAATGCCCACATCAACTTTTGTCTATGTCTGTCTGTCCTTCCCCAAGGTCAGATGCCAGGCGGTTAGTACTTCTCTGTGCTGCCTGCACACGAGTGGTTCACGTGGCCCTTTGCCACCCCTGCCCGAGGAGCTGCCTGGGGAAGCGCTCACACGTGGGGGCAGAGCCGTGTCCCAGCCCCTCCAGCTGCTGTGGGCACTGCCCCACTGCACGTTCTGTAATGAGAACGAACGTGCCTCAACCCAGCTCAGCAGAACGGGGATCAACTCCTTTAGATGATGCCGTTTCACATTAAGCCCTGGAAGAGCAGAGTTATGATTCGAGTTCCCAAGTAACAATAATCTAAGAAAAATCAGTCTCTGGGGAGGAGCTAGGCCTCACGTTGAATGTTTCTTTTTTTGGAGTGACAGTTTAAGTCCCAGTTGTCCTAACTACCCAATCACAGCGCTAGAAGGAGCTACCACAGAGGGGAGACCCCTCCTAATTCATAAATGCTGAAGAGTAGCACGCTCAACAGAATCACAAAAATGTCTCACACAGAGCAGGAGTGTTCAAGACAGCCACAGACACAGGGAAATATACTTACTTGCCAATGTCATCTTGATCTGCAAACTTCTCATCGTTGAAGCCAAACTGGTCAATAAAATTGGACGTCATTTGTTGCATCTGATAATCAGAAAAGGCCTGGCAACCCCAGGACCAGTGACAGTGATATAATGATTCTAATGACATTCTACATACTATTTGTCTTTCATAAATCATCTTATTTATCTAGCCAAAGGTCTTTAAAAGTTGGTGTGTTTTTCTAAAAAGCAATCAATAATTTCAGACACAAATTATCAAAAAAGGAAATGTTTGAAATTTGGCCCACAAATCACTCTAATGCGCATGTCACTGTAAGAAACACGTGACCACGCTGCCCTTGGTTGTGAATTATCCTCAGAGACAGGCCTGCATTAAGTCTGGTTTGAAGAAGTAACCAAAGGACATGTGAGAGTCTGAAATTATAAGGTGTGTCAGCCACAACCAACTTTCCCCTAAGACTCAGCAAGCGGCAGCCGCCCGCCCTCCCTCCAAGCCGCTCCCCTCATGCTCCCAAATCTACCACAAACAGCGCCAGAGGAAAACGGCTGGTGTACAACCATGACCCTCCAACGAGACCTTCGGGGACACTGCCCGTCCTTAAGAACACATCCGTACGTCGGAGGAGCCGGCAAGTGCATGGACCAGAAGCAGCTGAGCCCTGCCTGCCTTGGGGAGAGGGCAGACCCCTCCCACCTGAACTCACCGGGAGGCCTCGGCACGAGCGTCTCTGGCTCCTCACACCCCACCCACAGCCCCACAGGCTCATCTGGGGCTTCCTGGCTGACCAACGGGGGAACATTCTAATGGGTTCCGTGAAAATGGGGATATTTTCAACAGGCCCAAGGAAGCAAGTGACGTCAGCGAGTTCGTTCTCACACCTTGCTCGAGTCTCCTCAGAACATGAAGACAAGCGAGGGCCACTCCGCACCCTACCCACGTGAACACAGGCCCACATGGAATGACCCTGTGTGCGCTTGCCCTTGTGGGGACAGCCTGAACGGAGGCGTCTCACCCACGCCACCTGCTGGGAAGGAGGCAGCTATACCGAGTTCCACCAGCTGCTCCCGGCACCCTGGCTGAACAGAGCAGACTCCGCAGCCGGTCCGGTGGGAACACCTCCACCTGTCATTCCTGAAATCATTCTGGTGGCAGGGAATTATGGCATGGATAATCCACATCACAAACATTACAAACAACCCTTATATTTGGCTTTGGAAGGTATCTTCTGTTATTCTGGAAAATGCTGTATGTAGTGTGGCTGGATACAGAGAACCCAAACCTCCCTTTCCTCTCCTGGAAGACGACGACACAGCCACTGTCCCTCAGCCCCCTCCCACCGCCCTGCTGCCCTGCCGTGGGATCTCTGCACACAGCTTCGCAGGACTGTGTTTGGTAAGGCATCGCGTGCAGAGCAGGACTGGGCTGTGGGGCCCTGGCTGAAGGCAGAGGAGCAGGCACGGGCTCTGAGAAGCGGGGCTGTGTCTGGGACACAGGAATGGAAACGGGACAGCAGTCACACTCAGAAAGAAACCCGCTCCTCTGGGCTGAGCTTTCAGGCCCCAGGCGCTTGAGCACATGGTGAAGAACCAGAGCCGGCCAGGACGGCAGGCAGCACGAGCCAGGCCCTGCGCTCACCACAGATCAGAAACATGCTCACAGGAGGGAGAAGGGGCTGTTTCCATTCCTTTTTCTCTCTTCAAAAATATGTTTTTAATCTTTAGTGAGCACGTTATGATTCTTTTGCACATAAAGGGGGAGAAATGTTCCCAAGAGTGTTGTTACACTTTAATGCTTCAAAACAGAATGCAAATACAAAGTATGCTACAAGTGTACACATACATGTATGGACAGACATATGGACACACGTGTCTGCATTCATTCTGTCTATGGTCACCACCTAGGGAGACCTACGTAACAAGCAGGAAACACTAACAGCTTCCCTGGGATAATGCAGAGAAAAAAGAGGAGGGAGGCGCTGGAGTCCTCAGGGCTCCGCGTCTGTTACAGCTTCCTGCAGGATACAGACCAGCAAAGCACTCCACATTTATCCTCTTTCTTTCCTAAGAGAGGCTACAAAACCTCAGAGGCCACAGAGGCAGCGTTACTGCACTCTATACTTAAAGTTATATAAGAAGTGCTGGGGCCAGCACTGTGGCATAGCGGGTAAAGCCACTGCCTGCAGTGCCAGCATCCCACATGGGCACCAGTTTGAGTCCCGGCTGCTCCACTTCCGATCCAGCTCTCTGCTGTGGCCTGGGGAAGCAGTAGAAGATGGCCAAGTCCTCGGGCCCCTGCACCCACATGGGAGACCCAGAAGAAGCTCCTGGCTCCTGGCTTCAGATCGGCCCAGCTCCGGCCGTTGCAGCCGTTTGAGGAGTGAACCAGCAGATGGAAGACCTCTCTCTGCCTCTCCTTCTGTGTGTGTGTGTGTGTGTGTGTGTGTAAAACTTTCCAATAAATAAATCTTTAAAAAGAAGAAAAATAAAAAGTGCTAACTCTGAGACATCTGAACCTGGAAAGCACCAGTACTGTCACCCTGGCCAAAGTGCGGGACTGTCTGAGTCTGTGAGAAGTGAGCCAACCACCAGTTTTCACAGGCAGGCAACAGAGCGCAATCAGCGCAGCAGGCTCGGCTGTGACTGCTGACCAGGAGACCGCCCGGGAAGCGGCGGTGGGAGGGGTCAGGTCAGGGCTGGAGAGCCAGGCAGGGGACAGCCGGCCTGAACTGCCCAGCTGTGGCCTGGGCAAAGAGCTCCTCATTCTCCAACCTCCGCTAGGCTGAAATCGGGGAGATGGGCAGGAGAACACTGGCTCCTGGGAAGCCAGAGGCAGAACGAAACAGGACATGAAGGGTGAGCAACATGTCCCGCACCAAATCAGCCCCGCTGGAGACACAGTTGGCTTATATTTGTTAAACCACCTGCCCAAAGCTGTCTAAACTTAGAGGGACTTCATCCATTTGAGGCCCAACCTCGAACACGAATGAGAACCTGAAGGAGCTGACACCTATAATCTAATATTTTGATGATCAAGGAGACTATGATGGAATTCCCAAAGCCTGGACTTGCAGTCTCAAAGACAGTCTTAAACAAGGCTTTACCGCTTTTCTCCAGAGTGATCCATGGTTGGTTCACAGTTTAAACAGGGCAAGGAGAGTTCACTGGAAATGTGTCAATCAAAAAAGAGTAGTGATCCTTCCTACCTTTGGAGGTTTATATAAAACTGCCAAGGCTAGGATCTTGGTGGGGCTGTGCCGGCGTCAGGTGTGTAATGGGGACTGCTTCTGTATGCACAACCAGCGCTCAGCCGACAGGGACAAAATCATGTAGAAGTCTCTCCAGAACAGGAACCAGGAGGACAAGGGGACCCTCTGTCTTGGTGCCTATGCTGCACCAACTCTAGATTAAACCAGCAGCCCAGAGCTCTGAGTTCACCTGCATGTGCAGAATGCAACGTGGAGGGCCTCCTCCTTCCTCACGCTGAATTTCGGATAATTTACATTTAGCACCCTTCGGCTTCATTCTAGGGGCAGAGCAATGTGTTGTCCTGGGGTCTGTGGCCCTCCGAGCGTACTCTGAATACTCTACAGGCGCCTTGGTGGAGACAGGCCATCTGTCAAAGTGCTTCCTGGGGCAATCCTAGAGAGCCCTGGGGGCGAGAGCTGATGGGCTCACGTGAACAATGGGAAGCTGCCTGAGAGAAGCCAGAGTGGAGGCGGCAGGCGGCAGGGACCCACTCGCTGACCCCGACCCCGACCTCGCAGACTGGCTTCCAACAGGCAGCCAAGTGTGAAAACGCCACCCTGAGCTGATGTGGAAAAGGTGGACATTGAAGTGCCACAGCATCAAAACCAAGCAACGCCTGGGCTCAACCAAGGCTGGAGCAGGACAGGCCAGGCACACACACAAGCAGCTTCCTCCTGGCCCAGGTGACTCCAGAGACAGAAAAAAAGAGGGCACACATTCAGGGCTGGTGGGAGGGTTCTCCGTTAATCCTACTGCCTCACCAGAACGAGCTCCATGCGGATCTTCTGGGCCTAAGCAAGGACAACTTTCACATGATGATTCCTAGCAGTGACTTGACTCTCCAGGAAGCAGCAATGGATGAGAAATCAGGGCTTTCATTACTTGTATTCTTTGCAAACTCAAAGATTGCAAGCAACTGATAAATGGAGGAGAATTTGGGGGCAGGAGGGTAGGAGTGGCAATGGATTAATTCCACTAAAACCTAGTACAGATGTCACTATAAAAGAATTTAAAGACACCACAACTGTACCATGAAGGGGAAGTTCATTGTAATAAGCCATTTGATTCAGGGATACTGAAGAAACTATTTTTATTCTATTTTTCTCACCCATATGTCTTCATTAATGAATCTTTAAGCAAAAATCTCATCCAATACAAAAGGTCTGTGAAATGAGCCTGTTCAGGGCGGGGACTTCCTAGCGACTCGGCTCACTCCAGTCCCTGGAAACTCACTCCACTGTCGCAGCTGCCGGTATGCAAGGTTCCCAGAAAGCATCGCTAGATCCCCAGCTCTCGCGTACCCACGCTGTCTGAGTGCTTCTGCCTCAGGAAGAGGTAGTTCCAATCACATTCCAGCACAAAGTCCGACTCAGACGCTGCTTTATAAACGGCAACTAAACTAAGCATTGAAAACAAGAACAAAAAGCAAAGCTTTAGGTGTGACTCACTTGCTGCAAAGAGGAATCCTGTGAGAAACCCGTTTCTTTAAAGTCAATTTCATCATCACTGGATGAATGAATATGGCAGGTTGTAACCTATATGTATAAAAATGTAGAAAACTCTTTAACAAGGACAAGTTTTGGACATTTGCATCAGCATTTTTAAGGACAAAAAATCACATTTAGCTTTTCTCTCAATGTGTAACAGAAGAAACAGAAGTAAGTAACAGTCAGCTGTGAAGTCCTCCCAGGGTTGAGGGCAGGGCCTGGTGGTCTGCCTGCTCGCTGCTGCCACCTCCAGTCACTTCAGTGCTCACGACTACCACCGCCAGGAAACAGAAAACGAGACGAGCTGCTCCATTGACCTGACTCAGGTAAGAATCTCACACGATTGTTTACAAGGGGGCAGGCAGAAGTAATAGCACAGATAAAACACGAAAACGCTCACACGTGCCAGGCCTGGAGGGCCGAGCTGCAACCCCAGGGAAGCTAGCGAGCCACTACAAAGCCAGGTTTCAACATACACAGGCGCATGAAGGTCTGCATTTCCTGCCCACACTGAGAGAGGCATTCGCCACAAATACTAAATACAACTTGGGCAAGAGTCCCTCACCACCCACCCTGCCCCCCTCAGAACTTACAACCGATTCTCAAAGCAAACACGCAAACATGAACTGCTCATCAATTCATGGTTAAGTGATGTTTATTAATTCATAAAGGTCACACAATATTAGGGGGAATATATTAACAATTAGAAATCAAGATAAGCAAGTGATTAAGTACAACACTAACAGGAACTGTGTGGAGCAAGTGATAAATAGGAACAGGTGGCAAGCTTCCAGGAACAAGCACTGTACTGCAGGTGTGTCCTCAGTCACCCGTCCTGCACTTCTTGTACCAGTGTTCTGGCAGGCAATGGCGTCCTTAGGGGAAGGCATGACAGGGGCAGCTGCCACCTGCCCTCTCTTGAGCTGTGCCAGAGCCTGGAGTGGCGGCCCGGGAGTGGGCTGCCTTGTGAAACGGCCCCGACACTGGCTCAAGCAGCTCGAAGGAGAATCCAAACAGGTCTGTGTGGGGCATGGACCTTGAAATTCCCAACAATCACGGGCCCTACGCCTCGTCTTTCTTTTGCTGTCTTTGGTGAGACCCTAAGCCCAAGTGCCATCAGGCTGTAACGCCTCCCCGTTTCCAGCGGCTTCCCTCTCCACCATCCCTAGGCAAAGCACCTGAATGTACTTGTGAATCTGGCCTGGTACACCAAGGAATTTGCAGCCACTGAAGCGCACAGGCTTGGGTGGACAGCAGCTTTCCTGAGAAATGTGGGGTAGGAACGTTCCGGGAAGGAACAGAGGAAGCACGGGGCACCACGCGCCGGCTCACTCAGGAGTGCGCAGGGCCGTGTGGCCGGCCGGCCCGGCTGTGTGCGGTGCAGCCCCAAGGTGGGCACAGAAATAGAAGACATTTCAAAGACAAGCTCAAGCAGAACACACACACCCTCACTCACAGTTCCACTTTCTCCTACAAGATTCCACCAGTTCATTAACTGAGGATGAGAAGGAAGCCAACTTCTGTGAAGCCCCACTCTCACGTGCCAGACACTGACTCCTTCACCCGTCCTCAAAGCAAGCCTGCGAGGGTTCTAAGTGTGCTTCCCCCAAGAGGAAATTAGTGGTGACCAATTACTGTTACTAACAATGCACACACACCTCCACCCTCACGTTAATGGAGATGTGATTCCGATGCTATCCACCCTACCCCAGCCTGAAATCACGATTCAGATGAGCTGGAAAAGGCTGCGCCCATGTGGGGACTTGCTCATCGGAACCCCAGCAGCTCCCCTCGCACGTGCGCCCACCCCGCCCGCCTCTCGCTGCCCCTGCCTCCCCGCTCCCCAGGCCTCAGCAACTCACCTGGAGGAATCCACTCCCAACTCTCGCCCTGCCAGTCTCTTCTCTCTCAGCAGCCATACTCATCTTTTAGAAACGTGTACCAAATCATGTCCTTTTTAGTTCAGATCATAACGGCTTCTCATCTCACTAAAATACACCCCCCCCCAAAAAAAAACCCAAGGTGTTCCCTGTGGAACAAAGGCTGCACAAACCCAGCTTCTCAGCACCTCTCGCCTCCCGGCTTCCTGTTACCTCCCCCACCCCGGACACATGCTGCTCCTCACCCTCCCCTCTCCAAGTCTACATGAACATCTTCTCAGCCGGCTTTCCCTCGCACACGGTGTTACAACGCCCAGCTGCCCAGAACACGCCCTAGCTACTCCTCAACCACACCACGCATCATTTTCAACACGTGTGTACCCATGCACACATCACGCGTGTGTCCTATCTCCACGGAAGTGGGGCCCCACAGATCTCATTCATACTCCATCCCTAGCGTCTGGCACACAGCAGCGGTTCAGATATTCACCACAGTGCATACTAACAAGTCACTAGATGAAAACAAATACGGCAAAAAGTTAGCCAAACTTTATAAGCAAACCCTCGCCAAGCCAGAAGTATTTGCAGTACACTTAGTACAGTGAAAAAGCCTTCTAAGACAATACTTTCATCACAAAATTCCAGTTTTATCATGTGCTGTTTTCCTCACTGGGGCTGATCGAGCCGCCAAGGAAAACGGTGATGTGACCACTAGGCAGCACAGCCCGCACTGCTGAGGAGCCAAGCCACAGACGCCCCACACCCAACGTATGCCGCCAGCACCTACATGACCAGGGCAGCAATCACCAGCGCTCCGCCCACTCCACGCCGCTGGACCTCCAGGAGAGGCACGGCACACACGCACACTGTGTCGCCCCGCACAGCCCCCACAGCCGACCTCTCAGCGGCAGGACAGGGCCCGGCACTAGGAAACACTTCCCTCACCGGAGAGGACGTTCGAGAAGGACGGCAGCTCGTCTCCCAAAGTCAGGACAAAACCCTGCCAACATTAAACCTGCCCTTTCTAAATCCTTGCAGTCTGAGCATTCAAACAAAGGTCTTTGTAATTAAAAAGTCAAATTTTATTCATAATAAACTGCCAACACAAAAACATAGGCAACATATGAAACTCATGTATGTATTTGGCATGATGGGGTCAAAGGTTACAGTGTTTCAAATGCCTCAGAAACTGTTAGGGAAAACGCTGGAGGAGAGGACAGGAGCCGGGGGCCCGCACAGCTTACCTGGCATGACACACGGGAGCAGAGCAGGAGACCTGGCCAGGGCAACGTGACAAGGTGCTCACTCCAGGCCGACTCAGGTCCCATGAGGGAAGCAGGAATGATTTCCCAGGAGGTAGCTGGGCCATGCTAGTCCCAGCTGAGTCAAAGCAGCACACCACACCTAGTCCAACCTAAACTAGACAAACCAAAGCACCCTACCTACTCTGTCCAGTCTAGTTGGAGCCAGCAGCCTATTCCTTGCTGGCAGTCCCAGGAAGGCAGCTGTCAAGAAGTGATTGCTGGGGCTGGCGCTATGGCACAGTGGGCTAAGCCTCCGCCTGCAGTGCCAGCATCCCATATGGGCACTGGTTCAAGTCCCAACTGCCGCTTTTTCAATCCAGCTCTCTGCTATGGCCTGGGAAAGCAGTGGAGGATGGTCTAAGTGCTTGGGCCCTGCACCGGCGTGGGAGACCAAGAGGAAGCTCCTGGCTCCTGGCTCCGGACTGGCTCAGCTCTGGCCATTGAGGCCATTTGGGAAGTGAACCAGCAGATGGAAGACCCCTCTCTCTGTAACTAACTCTCAAGGAAGTGAATAAAAATATTGGAAAAAAGTAAACAGTGCTTTCACTTGGACTATGCTCGACAGGTCCCGCGTGAGCACTCTTCCCGCATCTCACTTGCGCAAGGGTGACGCCCACTGTATTCACCAAGTTGTGTTGAAAACAGTCTTCCTGATGGCACACTTTCCCTGGAACACGGCAGCCGACCCCACTGGGACACAGCTGGAAAATGTTGCAGGCAGGAAAATGAGGCGCCTGGGGGATGCAGCGGAGCCCTAGGTGGTGGCCTGGGAGCAAAGAAGCAGCCTCCAGACCGGGAATGAGCACAGTCCTGTGCTGGGACGTCCGAGGCTCTGAGATGGGCCCGAAAGGCACCGACTACAAACGGACAGAACGCAGCTGTGTGGGCGGGGCTGTGTGACCGGACCACTTCCACTCCATACACCAAATCCTCCTGATTCCACTGCAGTGTGGACGTACGCGTCCTCGTGTGCTGGCAGAGGGGAACTGAGCTCACAAAGAGCGGCAGCCGGCACTCAGAGTTCCTCCACACGGCTGTGAGCGTCTCCCACGTCTGACTCCAAGGGTGACTGCTAACTCTGCACTGTATGTCACCCCTCCCTGCTGGCATACATGGTACCGCTATTCACAACCACATGGCTGGTGTGCTGGCACCGTGCAAAGAACCGAGTGCTGTGTGGACGGCAGCGAAGACCTCTTGTTCTACAAACTGCTCAAGGGAATCTGCTGCAGTCACCAGAGGTAAAGAAGCTTTTTAAAACTCTGATACGTTTAACAGGACATTTTTCAATTTCCACCTTTGAAGTCAAAGGATAATTTTAAAAGAAGTTTCCCAAAGAAACCAGGAGTAATATTCTTAGAGACTCTTTTATAAAAAGAAACAAGACGAAAAAAGAAAAACAACACACAAACAAAAAAACCAAGCACAGACTCACCAAGGTGCCCCTGAATGGCGCGGTTTAGCAGTGTGGAGGTGCAGCTCCACTCCGCAAAAGCACCTGGCTGGCTCTCGGGGTCGGTCCCATTCTAGGCAGATAACAGCGCTTAAACTACTCCAGCCACTTTGGGGAGAAACCCCGGAACCAGCCCCAACTGGGCAACGTGTTCGCGGAAAATGACTTAGCCCTGATGACCCAGGGCTGCCGACAGAGGGCCAGCTTCTCTCCTGGCCCCAACACACGGAGACCAAGGGCCCTAAAACCTGTTCTAATAAACCTGTTCTAATTAATGGCCCACATAGTTCCCCCCTTTTTTTTTTTTTTTTTTTGACAGGCAGAGTGGACAGTGAGAGAGAGAGAGAGACAGAGAGAAAGGTCTTCCTTCGCTGTTGGTTCACCTCCAGTGGCTGCCGCGCTGCAGCTGGCACACCGCGCTGATCCGATGGCAGGAGCCAGGAGCCAGGTGCTTCTCCTGGTCTCCCATGGGGTGCAGGGTCCAAGCACTTGGGCCATCCTCCACTGCACTCCCGGGCCACAGCAGAGAGCTGGTCTGGAAGAGGGGCAACTGGGACAGAATCCGGCGCCCCGACCGGGACTAGAACCCGGTGTGCCGGCGCCGCAGGCGGAGGATTAGCCTAGTGAGCCACGGCGCCGGCCCATAGTTCCCTTTCTATAATCCCTCTACCTTAATGCTTCCTAATTCTATCATTATATCATAAGAAGCCATTACCCCGAACTGTCAAGAGTATAGAAAGAGACAGCCACCTCCACTGGACACAGTAAAGTGGGAGCCACGGGCCTGCAGGGCGAGGGGCGTGGCGGCCCAGCAGCCAACAGAGCCCTCCCTCTGGTTCCCAACCTCTGTGCTCTCCTGAGCTGCAGTGAACTCCCCCAGCGGAGGTGTTCCTGCGTATCAGGAACCCGAGGCACAGACAGCGCTGCCCCACCTCGAGCACCAGCCGGCAGGTGCTCAGGGAGAAGAGCTTGCCCACCTTCCAACACAAAAGCAAGGGACCCTCGGCAGCACTTACCACTCGACGGTTAAGAAAATGCATTCCAAAGTCCAATATGATGTGTAAAGCAATTACCGATGCCATGATTCCCTGGCTGAAGCACCAATGCTGTTCCAGACTACAAAGCTGGGGTTCCAGGGTCCCCTACGAGCCCCGCCCCTGCCCGGACTCTGTAACAGGGAGCCCCGACTCAGAAATCACAGCAAAGTTGTCTGCAGGAGTACGCAGGTCTCCAGAGCACCCGGCGTCAGCTGAGGGCTGAGACAACAGACTCCACAGAACAGGGGCAGGCCGGAGGGGGCGTGCAAAAGGCAAGGGGCGCACGGCGGGTGTCGGGCGGAAGCCGGCGGCCTGGCAGCGCTCCGTCACCAGACGCCGTGAGCGCTGACCTTGCTTCCTGGAAGGAGTCACCAACTTATTTTGGCCCAAATCACGGGGCCAAACCAAAGGCCTCTACACTGCTGAGTAAGCGGGCACAGGCTAAGGCACTGGAAAAGCACGAACGTAACCTTGGAAAACCTACTAGATCTACCGTGTTCCTCTTGTTAGTTTCTCCTAAGGAGCTCGTGCAGAAGGTCTCCCATCGCTCTCTGACTTCATCAGGAAGATCTTCAGTGAGAAAAGGAAAAAGCGTTATCACCACAGTGATCTCCATGCGACAAATCACTACAGTAAGTGGGGATACAGGAGGGGCCTACCCAGATCGCTCGTCAGTGGCGGGCACCCCGTCAGCTGTGGGGTACAGGAGGGGCCTACCCACCTGGGTCGTCAGTGGCGGGCACCCCCTGTCAGTTGCAGGGGTACAGGAGGGGCCTACCCACCTGGGTCGTCAGTGGCGGGCACCCCCTGTCAGCTGTGGGGGTACGGGAGGGGCCTACCCACCTGGGTCGTCAGTGGCGGGCACCCCCTGTCAGCTGCGGAACTTGGGGCAGCCAGCCCAGGGCTTAGAGGAATGCAGTTAAGAAACCCTCCCATGGCCTGAATCCCAGACTTTCAGGAACCAGAACCAAGTGCCCCTCAACCCCACCCTCCCCCAAGTGGTGCAGGCCTCATCCGGCCAAGGGCCCCATCAAGTTCCTAAAAACGTTTTTGTAGAAGTTTAACTTGGAAACGTTTCCAACAAGCTCTTCTGAGAGGCAACAGGTCTTCAAGTTGTATGGGGTTCAGGAGTGGATCGAGCCCAATTTGGTTTCTTAATCACTTTAAAATAATGTATCCTAAATGTTTGCATCATAGACCAACACACAGATACATGTATCTGCAAGTGAAATTCTACCTTCCAAAGAAATTTTAAAGAAAAGGATATGCAACTTTTCTGATAAAGTGAAACTATGGTTGGAACTGGAGGTCTTAAGACTACAGCTGCGGTCTGACAACGTGCTTTGCACACACACGCTCGCGCTCGCACTCAGCGCACCCAGGGCCACCTGGCAGGCAGCTTCCATAAAACAAAGACCCATCTAAAAATTCAATCCATCACACGGTCATCTCCTCTCGGTAAGGACAGGAAGATACAGTGTGACGAGGAAGGCTTCAGGAACAGGCTCACACCTCTTTCAAGAAGCAAAGTGACAGGTGGGCAAGCCCTAGTTTTTCTGTCACTGGACAATAGTTAGACTTTAATGCCCATTCAACAGGTCACAGCCTCCTGAACAGACATTAATGAGGAAGTGAGAGGACACACGGGGAATGGCCAAGCAAGTTAGCGCGGAACAAATGCTGCAGCGTCTTTACGGTTACCCAAGCCTCAGGCCTTGTAACCCCACTGGGATGGAGACCCGGGCGCACAGAGACTTGGGCAGGGCACCAGGCACCCACACAGCTTCTTCCAAGTACCCCTGGGCTGACCAAAGAAGCTGTCCTTTAGGAGACAACACCCCTAGTTGTATTGGCAGCAAGACAGAAAAAAAAAAGGCTGATAAATGTCTCAGCATCCCAGTTAAAGGAACTCAAATTCACAGGCTGTACAGAGGGACTGCGAAGAAAATGATAAGCTCCAGCGATGTCTGCGCATGACTACTTCAAGGTCAAAACACTCGGGAGACAGAACTAGGGAGCCACGTTCTGCAGCAAGTGACAGCGTAGGTAACTCCAGCCGGCTGAACTCAGCTAAGCTGGCCAGTGCTTGCCTTTGCAATGTTGGGGAGAAACACGGACAGAGAGATAGCCAAGAATCACACTGTTCAAAACACACTCTCAAAAATCTCAGTCAAATCTCTAGACAATTTGCAAAATCTATTAAATTCCATAAGCAGCCACTACACAAATGCTGCAGGGATCTGTACGTTACCCTCACATCCTTCCTCTGATCAAACAGCACTACAGTTCAAAGCGTTGCAAACAACTTACCTTGGATGAGCTGCTGCACCAGAGCACTGTTGGGGCCCTTGTCAGTGCTGTGCACGACACAGTTAGCTATCCTCGTCAGGTGTCCCATGTACCCGTGCCGTCTTCCTCCCTCTGCCCTGACAGCGGAAAGGACAATGTTGAGACTGCTGGCAGCACACAGCCACGAGACACCTGGCAAACACTGTGGACTCTGAGGCAGTCCCACCAAACACAGGGTGCTGAACAAGACGGCAGTGGGGGGGGGGGGGGGGGGGCAACGGAAGGCAGGTGCCAGAGACCACCCGGCAGCCTGGTGGCGTCTGAAGGCACCCACTCAGAGACTGCACGATGGTCTAACTCGGCAGGTCAGCTGACTTGAACGCTGTAACTGGCAGTAATATATCACATGAAACCACATTCACCTTGATGCCCATGTTAAAGCAACTCTCCTTTCTACCTTTTTTCTGTAAAACCGTTTTTCAGGCTGTGACCAGCTGGGAGGGAACACAGGTAGAATTCTGCTGGCTTTGGAGGAGGGAGGGCAGTTAGGATCTGAGCCCCGTATCAGAGTGCAATGCCAGCTCCAGCTCAACTCAAGCTGGCTGCCTGCTGATGCAAACCCTGGCAACCAGGGATCCCTTCCATCTCGGCGGGAAATCCAGAATGGGATCCTGGCTCCCAGGCTTCAGCCTGGACCAATCCCTTCTGCTGTAGGCATTTAGGGAGTAACCAGCAGATGGAAGCTTGGTCTCTCATCTTCCTAAAAGACATCACACTTCAGTCCTATCCATTAATAGAAATAATTATCTACCAACGCAATTTCTCAAGTTAAGACCCTGGGTGGACCGGCGCCGCGGCTCACTAGGCTAATCCTCCGCCTGTGGCGCCAGCACCCCGGGTTCCAGTCCCGGTCGGGGCGCCGGATTCTGTCCCGATTGCTCCTCTTCCAGGCCAGCTCTCTGCTGTGGCCAGGGAGTGCAGTGGAGGATGGCCCAAGTGCTTGGGCCCTGTACCCGCTTGGGAGACCAGGAGAAGCACCTGGCTCCTGGCTTTGGATCGGCACCGGCTGTGGCGGCCATTTGCGGGGTGAACCAATGGAAGGAAGACCTTTTTCTCCATCTCTCTTACTGTCTAACTCTGCCTGTCAAAAAAAAAAAAAAAAAAAAAAAAAGACCCTGGGTGATTGCCACACACTGCTGTGAACAGGCAAACTGGCTTGGTCCTCACCCCTCTTTCCTGTGCTAAGAGCGTCATCTTCCCGATCACAACCCATGTTTACACTGAGACACTTTTTTTTTTTTTTTAATTTCATTTCCATGAAAGGCAGAGTTAGAGAGTAAGTGAGAGATAGGGAGGTCTCCCATATACTGGATCCCTCCCCAAATGGCCACAATGGCCAGGGCTGGACCAGGAGCTTCACCTGGGTCTCCCACAAGGGTGCAGAGGTCCAAGCACATGGGCCGTATTCCGCTGCTTTCTCAGGCGCATCAGCAGGGAGCTGGATGGGAAGTGGAGCAGCCGGGCCTGGAACAGGCACCACACGGGATGCTGGTCTTGCAGGTGGGTGGTTGCTTAGCCCATTACGCCACAGACCCATGTATTTGCTCTGCCTATTTACCAAGTGTTAAGATCGCAAATACTATGAATTAAGAGATTTTTTTTCTAAACTGCAGATAGCAGAGAGCAAACTGAAGGTATTTTTTGCTTAAAGGGAGAGAAGCTTTTCAGGAGTCACTTAAAAAACACCATACTGTGCTTGAAAGCTGGCCTGGACAACACAGGATCTGCTAGGATCATCTCCGAGGGGCTGGCTGGCCTCAGCTGCTGGGAGCAGTAAGACCTGACGCCGCCAGAGTCCCACAGGCAGCTTCTCAGCCACTGGCCACGCGGAACCACAGGCCCGCCGCGAGCTGCGCTGCTTTTGGCCCTGTGCTTCCTGGGCGCTTGAGACTTCTGGAGGGAGGGCGCAAAAGCCCTCGGGATCCCGCGGGCGGGGACGCTGCGCTGTCTCCAGGTCTTCAGCGCATGCGGCTCAGCGGGAGAACAGAACGTAGAGGGCCCGTGGGTCACCAGGGGCTCGTGAGAGGGTAGGAAGTGGGGGAAGGCACAAAGGGGCCACGAGATGCTGACTGTACCACACGCAGCCCCTGGAGGAGCTCCGTCTGGAAGAAGGCACCTGAGGTCCACCAATACTAGCCCACGCCCTGGGCCACTGGCTTCAGAGTACACGGGGTGGCGTCAGGTCCTTACAGCTGAATCTGTTACACACACCACCACGGCCAAGTTGTGCCACACAACGAAGCTGCTGACGGAATCCAACACAGCACCTCACATACCCTTCCCGTCAGCTAGTGGAGGTTTTCTAAAAAGTAAAAACTTTAGCCATGATCCCTGGAGTTTCACACACAAATCAGCTCTTCTGTCCAAGAACACGCACCTCGTACGCTCTGTTCTGTGAGGGTGACGAGAGGATGAGCAGGTGAATTAAACCCATCATCGAGGACCGAGACCCTCCTAAATCTTCTTCATTCACCTTCACATCAGTCCCAGGACAATCACTGACATACGGCTGGGGGTGTCAAAGGCAGCACAGAGGTGGGCCAGGAGCCCTCAGTTCCTTAACTGCCCCCACCCCCACCCCTGCAAGAAAGACACTGGAGCTAAACATAAATCACGAGAAAAGTGTCTGTCACAATGAAAATATTTTCATTTTTCTCTGAGTAGAGTAAGAAGACATTTTCTTCAAATTATAAATTGAATTCCTTTCAAAAACAATTTACTTACTGTTTCTTCTCATTCATTTCCCAGGCTTCAAGTATTCGTTCTATTAATTGACACTTCTGAAAAAGCTGAATAAGAAAGAATATTCCAGTTAAGATTTATTCAAACGTCAAAGTGTCAAGCCCTGCAATCAAACAGGTTAAAGAGAACAGTGGGATGTGTGTGTAGTGAGCAAGCTACAGGCAGTATGAATGGCCACAACAGCCAACGTGGCAACCCCCAAACCTTAGTGACCTGTTCCAGACTCCCAGAGCCCTCCCGTGCACCTGCCAGGAAGGACAGCACAGGCCCTGCCCCAACATCAACCTACAGCGAAACCAGGCTGACCAAAACTAAAATGGAATGAAGGATATTGTGCCTTGGCAAAAGTTTAACTTTGAATTCCAAGCAATATTTGCCGTCATTCCTTCTCCCCGCCTACATGGCCAGCACAAGGAAGCCCCCCCTGCCCTCAGGTAGGCAGGAAGGCAAGCCCGACTCAGGACCCTTCACTGACCCACACAGCGGCACAATGACTGAGATCACCTCCGACTGACGACAAGGAAGTGAGCACCAGAAGAGGCTCACTCCACATGGCCCGGAATTTGCTTCTCCAGACACGTGACACACAATCGCACTCTGGAATGCCAATAACTGTTCAAACGTCTTCTGCAGGACTTCAATTTCAATGGTTCTTCTCATCTCCCAGAAGACTCACCTACGTCCAAACCTATTTATTTTACGAAACAAGCAAGCCGCTTCCCTTTTTCCTTAATGGGCAGGTCACTTAATTGTTACCTGTTCAGGATTTGACTTACAGAATCATTGGTTGAAAGTGCAACTGACACCTAACAGTTAAACATTTAGACCCTGAGGTCTAACTTCATGTCCTAAGACTTCCTTTCACTCTGAAGTAGGAAATTACTACAGCCAGGAGAGGACGGACCGACAGTGAGGCCGGATCAGCTTACGTGTTTCAACAACAAGTTGTCACCAGGCGAGTCTTGATCAGTAATTGTGCCACTGTCTGTATTTTCAAAAGGACTTGCAAGAATCAATGCAATACAGATTTCCACTTGTGTGTGCAGAAAGTTATTCCATGTGTACTTGAAGAACATGTCCTACAAAAAACAATAAAGTTTTATTCAGACACTTCAATGTTTAAGCTGCTACTTTAATGTAAAAGCGGTGCGTTCTCAGGACATTGGGAACATGGATGTATTTAAGAGGGGGTCTGAAACACCATTTCACACCCTAAATAACTGGGTGGCTGCTCATCCAACATGGCAGAACTTGCATGGAGTCTAGCAGAAACCAACAGCCGACACATGGAGAAGAGAACAGTACGAAGCTCCTCAGAGAGGAGGAAGGGTTTCTTGCTTTTAAAGCAAATAACACAAACAGCACCTTCATTAGGTGTTCAGTAATTTTCAAGGATACTCGTTGCGGATTTCATTTTGATTTAATTATTGCTGATGGCTTTTGTGTAGGATTCTGTGATAGCTACAGAGTGGGGACAGACAGAGAAAACAGTTTCCCAATCTCAAGGTGCTCACAACCTAACAAAGGAAAAACACTCGGTGTGTGGAAACTCTCAGGACCATCAGCAAGAACACGTGAGGTGTGAGAAGTGGGGACGAGGGCTCCCCTGGGAGTGGGCTGATTTTCCAACTACCTGAAAACTAAAGCCTCACAGGAGAAAGACTGCTTCTAAAACCAAGAACGCACGGAGGACGCACTCAGGCCCAGACTGGCTGAGACGGCAATGACTACCGACCACTCCAAAGTAGCCCTAAAGATTAACAGCAGACTGAATGTGTAGACTTGTATACTTTCCTTAGTAAGAGACAAGACGAGGGACTAGGAACTTCAGGGAAAACCTTGGAGGCATGCGCAGAAAGTCCTGCTCTCGAGTTTTGCTGACCAGTCAGAGGGCAGGGCAGGAACTACGTCCTCAGAGGGCGACACACACCACTGAAGACACTGCAACCTTTGCGCCCTGCCCTCCTGCGCTCCGCACGGACACGCTGACAACGCTGGTAGCTAGCAGCTGAAATGACCTGACACCATCGCAACACCAGGAACTGGGCCTCTCCACTCAACAGCCACAGGATGGACGCCCTCTCTGGCCGTGACCTCACACAGGGTTCACACCAAGGATCCCAGAGTGTGCAAGGTGCAGGTAATGACGCCCATCAGCTGATGAGCAAACATCTCCTATGCCCCTAATCATAGGCATTTGGCACACTGGTTAAGATGCCAACTTAGGGCCCCTTCCCCCCATGTAGAGAGCAAGGGTCTGGGTGCCAATGCAGCTCTCGGCGCCAGTGTCCTGCTCATGCGCACCCCGGGAAGCTGCAGGTGCCAGTTCAAGTACTTGGGTCCAGGCCACTCACATGGGAGACCCAGGCTGAGTAGTCGCCCAGCTTTTGGCTTTGGCCGGGTCCACCCCCAGTTGCTTAGAACATCTGGAGAATGCACTAGCATATGAAAGACTTCTCTGTGCCTTTCAAGTAAGATTAAGAAGAAAAAAAGAGAAAGATCTGAAATGCCCCAGATGCATGCTGTGACCAGCTCACACACTGGCGCCTGCACGTGCTGGCCTCAGGCCCCCTGTGCTGGGAGGGGAAGTTTAAAGCACAGCCATGGCTCCGAGGAGCTCCCGGCCAGAGAAGACAGATCATACCTGCGCTCTGCTGTTCCCTGCACGGTGAGCAGACGGGCAGCGGTCTGTCTGGGAGAAGCACGCTCACACCAGAGCACACAGCTCAGAGGCCCTCCTAGACACCTATCCTGTGGCTCCCTCCGAACCGAAAACAGTGCTGTTCCTGGCAGTCACTGGCACTGCACCTCTCCAGGGAAAAGCCTGTGCGTCTTCCTCACCTGACAGCCTGGATTACATTTCTTTTCAACAATGACTGCGGGGCGACTAGACGCTTCCAGAACTTACGACAAGCTCAAGGATCACCCTGTGTAAACATCACTTGACGCGCCAGACACACGTGCGAAGCCTGCAAGGCTGTGCCTGGAGTCACATGTCCGTGAAGTCCTCACCACGGGCTAGAGGCTGTCGAGGGGCATCTCACCAAAATGACGCCGATGCTGTTCAGCTCCATGAGGTCCCCGTTGATGCTGCTGGTGTTGGTCTGAAGCAGGCTGGATATCAACCTAATCACATTCAACCGCGTGTTCCCCACGGGAGGGTCCAGGACACCCCAGGTGGTCTTCATCACACTTTTCTGAAGAAGAAAAACTTTTCCCATGAAACCTTCCAGTTAAAACACACAGAAGACACAGGTGCTAGAGCAGCGCAGAGAGGGGAACGCGGCCCGAACTCAGCACCTGAAAGAAAACCTACAGCTGTCACAGCTCTAGAATATGACGAAATAACCAAACAGGAACACACAAAATCAGTTCCCTGGGCTACACATTTTATAAGAACTCAAGCACCCTGACATTCCAAACTGCCTCGGGGTAAAGCACAGAGCTGCAGAGCCCCCAGAAAACGACTTCGGAGCCAGCAGTTCAGGAGAACAGCCCCGTCTGTGCCGAATCTGTGATGACAAACACGCTCAGGGAGCGTCTGTGTATAAGGAGCATTAAAAGTGAATCTTAACGAGGAATGGGATGGGAGAGGGAGGAGGCGGTGGCGGGGATGGGTGGAAGAAATGCTATATTCCAAAAGCTGTACCTGTGAAATTTATATCTATTAAATAAAAGCTTTCTGAAAAAAACAAAACAAAACAAAACAAAACAAAACAAAACCAAACCCAACAACCTCAGAGGTTGCCTCTGGATCCAAACTCAGAAACGTGACGGACCTGAAGCTGATCCTGTCTGTAACAGGAGGTTGCAAGAGTCGCGAGTCACAGAAGACGGGACAGCACATGTCAGAACCCGAGAGGCCAGACAGGACAGGGCCACAGACGCCACCGCTCGTGAGGCTGCTCCCTCTGCACGTCCTGTCCGCATCAGCCCCCAGCCCTCCTGCTGCCACATGTCCTCTGCCCCCCCCCCCCCCCCCCCCCCGCCTCTCAAGTCCTAATAAACCGTAAGGCTCTAAAAGCAGACTTCTGAAAAGCTGCATGGGTCTGCCTATGTGCATCACACAGTGGAGCCGGTACACACCGAACGCGCTCGCTCACTCCTGGGAGAGAGGTCCAAACGAGACACCAGCTTCCTCGTCCACGGGTGCCCTGCTCGGCCAGCTCGGCAGAGGCAGGGCGGGGCCTTGCTCGCACACCTTCCTCTCCCAGATCTCCCTCGTTTTACTCTTGATTTTCTCATAAATCCTTTCTCGTCAGTTTCTCACCCTCCTGTTCTCCCCAAGGCTGGCATGAAGGGTACCAGTGACGTCCCTGTTCCCACCACCAGAGGGGCCTTCCAGAAGATGACTACATGCAGCCCAGGCTGAACGGAAATGAACAGGCCCAGCTGGAGACACGCGCTCTGAGCGCAGAGGTGGGACCGTGATGTCATCAGGTCCCTTCAAAGTCAATCTGGAAGCTGAACCAGACCTGGGCGAGGCCCTTCCTTTTCTCAAATGGTAACACAGTATACTAAATCTTCAATCACCGGACACACACACTAGGCAGCCCAGCAACCAACAAGAAGGCAGAGGGGACAGGGACTGTGTGAGAACTGGTGCTGGGAACAGAACTGTCCAGAACCAGGCCTTCCAGCTCGGACTCGGCGAAGTGTCTTGGACCCGAATCTAAACCTCTGCGCCAAAGCAGGAAGGCGGGGTGCGGGGGAAGCACACCCCCAGGGGCTGCCGACAGCCCCCGCTGCGGTCTGCACTAAGCAAGCAGGCGCCTACGTGAGCACGTGGCGAGCGGCCGACAGCCCACACCCACGGCACAGGCCTCGCTTCTGCACACGTGAACTTCACGCCGCAGCTGCCCAGGCTGGGGACTGCAGTTCCAAAGACCAGCTCCCAGGTCAACGTCACCTCAAGATGAAAAACGAGCCGTGTGAAGCAGGAGACCCCTCACTGCACAGCGCGTGCACAAGCACCCGAGGATTCAGACAGAGCTGAGTCTCGTGAGAAATACCCGCTGCGACTCTACCCCATTCACCAGTTCAGACTATGCAACAGAGACAAACAGGCCATCAGAAACGAGGTCAGAAACAGTAAAACCGCGGGCAGCACACCTTCTCGCGTACGCGGTGCAAGCTGCTCACAGCCAGTGCGGCCACTCCAGGCTTCTCACACGTCCAGTGAGCGGATGGGGGCTTAAACCGAGTTTCAGGCCAGTCACACGCTTCAGGAAGCGCACCTACCTTGGGTGGCTCGAGCAGGAGTTCGTGAAAAGACGCGAGTCTCCCTCTGATGGCCTCCAGCACACTCTTGTTCACCAAACAAGCGGAGTGACTCATGCCCGGCGGACACATCTCCACGTGGCCTTCGAACCTGGAAACGAAGCAAAGCCATCTCAAGGCATTATGATTTCAGAACAAGGCACTCCCAGTGTTCCATATCAACAATGACTACTTCACTGAAAATGACTATCTCACCGTTCCTGCTAGGAAAAAAAGGGTTACACATCCTACAAACCAGAAGCAGGTGTGATAAAGCCAAAACGGACATCTGCCCCCAGCTCTGAAACCAACTACCCACAACACTCAGAACGACAACCAGGGTCTAACCAGACAGAACCTGCAAAGCAAAAAGGAGACCTGACTCCCAACTCGCAGGGCACACGCCGGCTGGGGACCCGGGATGCTAACAATTAACAGGTTTGTACTTGTTCCAGTTTTTCTTGGATAATCAACACTGTTTCCTATTTAAAAGGCTTAAGTTATTCTTCTATATAATAATCTAGACTCCCAACAGGAAACCGAGTTGAGGTAGAACGAGACTCCTCCAGCTCAATCAGAGGTTCCCCACGCGGGGAGAGGAGAGCGCAGAAGGGGATTAAGGACATTTGGGGAGAGGTCCAAAAATGAACGAATTCAAATCCACGCCAACCTAGGTGCTGTGTTGCCTCCACAGCAGTGCAAGCCAGCGGTTGCCAGCACAGCTGCTGGAGCAAGACTGCCTGAGCCCACACCAGGCTCCACTGCCAGTGATCTGCCCCACTGTGGACGACGGGGATCCCTCCTGCACACGCGGGGAGGACCACAGCAATGCAGGCAAAGGAAAGGGTGCGCGCAGACAGCAAACACCCACCACGCAGTTACTGCTGGGACTCACGCGCAAGCGACTTCCGACCTGTGACATCACCCAGAACTCCGCTACAGGACAAGGGAGATCAATGTGTACAGGAAAAAGGGCAGGGAGTTTAACACAAAGTGGTTTTTTTTTTTTTTTAAGTTTCTGCCTAGAGCCATGCTATTAAGTTCCTCGTAATTCCACAGGTCTATGAACACTGGCATACGTTTCTTCTTGAAATTCATATGGAAATTTACTTCTGTGTTTAAAAAACAAAGTAAAACGAGTACCTGCATATTTCCCCCTCTATGTGATCAAGTCAATTTCTTGGTCATGATTCTAGACCAAGTGTGTTTAAATAACTCAATTAAACCCACATTAAAATTTCTTAATGACTCATTTATATTTTATTTGATCTTCTAAGAAATCCTTAGCATAACAATTTGCCAAATCGAAGCCAAGAACGGTGTCGCTATTCCAGTGAGAGTTATGGCACTCAGAATGCTGTCTGGAAGGCACGGGTGGCAGGTGTCTGAGGTATCAGCCAGGCAGCAGGCTACTGCACACAGGTGCCGGTCTCCAGCCAGCCGCTCAAGGTGTTTGGTTGTTTGCTGTTTGGGGGCAATTATGAGCTTTTGTGAGGCACAGATTCTATTTCACTTAAGTAAATGCTAAGACTGCTGGTTAGTATGTTAACTGTTCATAAGAAACTGACAACGCATGTTTTTCCTAAGAGGCTGTATGACTTCATGTTCCCAAGGGCAACGTGGGCTGTGTCCAGCAGGTAGGCATCACCAACTGGGCACGGCACACTTTGCTTAGTTCAGCAAGGGGGTGGACTGTCCACGTCCTAACCCCCACAGCCTGAGCGCCACCTTATTTGTAACTATGATTAGAGACTTTGAGATGGAAGATTCCCCTGGATCACCCAGTGGGCACTAAGTGTTGCAAGGGTCCCTGTAAGACAGTGGCACACATTTGAGGAGGCCAGGTGCAGATGAGGCAGAGACATCCATGACCAAGGAGCGCCAGCAGCCACTGGAGGCCGGAAGAGCCGAGACCGACTCACTTCTGGGGCCCTGCGGCCTGCCAACACCCCGCTCTGGACTTCTGGTATTCAGACACGTAAGAGAACAAACTATAGCTGTTTTACGTCACAGCATCTGTGGTAATCTGCTTAACAGACATAGGAAACACACGTTGTCCAAAAGTAGTATCTTGATTTTAATGTGCTTTTAAACTTGTAATTTATTAATAACAAACAATGATGACCATTTTTTCATGTATTTACTTGATATGTATGTACTATTCTTTAATTCTCTGCTCAAATATTTTGACCTTAAATTTAGGTTGTTTTCTTACTAAATTTTAAGTGCTCTTTATATATGTTAAATCCTTTATTAAACATGTGCTTTATAAATGTTTTCTATCTGTAGGCTGTTTTTTTTGTTTGTTTGTTTGTTTTTTGACAGGCAGAGTGGACAGTGAGACAGAGAGACAGAGAGAAAGGTCTCCCTTTGCTGTTGGTTCACCCTCCAATGGCCACCGCGGCCGGCGCGCTGCGGCCAGCGCACCGCGTTGATCTGACGGCAGGAGCCAGGAGCCAGGTGCTTATCCTGGTCTCCCATGGGGTGCAGGACCCAAGTACTCGGGCCATCCTCCACTGCACTCCCGGGCCACAGCAGAGAGCTGGCCTGGAAGAGGGGCAACCGGGACAGAATCCGGCGCCCTGACCGGGACTAGAACCTGGTGTGCCGGCACCGCAAGGCGGAGGATTAGCCTAGTGAGCCGCGGCGCCGGCCTGCCTGTCAACTTTTTAAAAACAGATGAAATGTTTGCAATTTATCTAAGAAATATTTTTCTAACCTGGATCAAAATTTTCTGTTTTCTTCTAGAACTTTTAGTTTTTGATTTTGCATTTAGTTCCGTGATTCGAGCTAATTTCTGCATAATCTGCAACATACACATTGCTTGTCCAACTTCTGCATACAGCATCTTTCCTCCACTGAGCTGCATTTAATTTCTCTTTTTTACTTGAGAGGGAGAGTTACAGACAGTGAGAGGGAGAGACAGAGAGGTCTTCCTTCCGTCGGTTCACTCCCCAGATGGCCACAATGGCTGGAGCCGCTCCGACCTGAACCCAGGAGCCAGGAGCTTCCTCCAGGTCCTCCCACGTGGGTGCAGGGGCCCAAGCATTTGGGCCATCTTGTACTGCTTTCCCAGGCCACAGCAGAGAGCTGGATTGGAAGTGGAGCAGCCAGGACTAGAATTGGCACCCATATGGGATGCTGGTGCCACAGGTGGAGGATTAACCACTGCGCCACAGCGTCGGCCCCAGCTGCATTTAATCTTTAACACTGACTTTGTATCCCGCCACCTTGCTAACTTACTACCTGCACATTCTTCAGATCTGCCGAGAGGCAGTCCTGACCGCCCTGAACAGATGCAGCGTGGTGTCCTCCCCCGGGCCCATTCCTGCTGTGCTGACACTGGCTAGATCTCCCAGCATGACAGTGAACAGAAGTGGGGGGGGGGGTGGCCAGCCATGTTCCCTGAGATTAGGATACCCCAGTTTTGTCTTCAGACATTATGAATGATGTTACAATGACTACTTTTTTAAAAAGGTTTTTATTTATGTCTTTGAGAGGTAAAGTCTCAGAGGGAGAAACAGAGAGAAAGGTCTTCCATTCACTTTTTCATTCCCCAAATGCCACAGCGAATGGGGCTGAGCTGTCCAAAGCCAGGAGCCAAAGAGCTTCTTCTGTGTCTCCCATGTGAGTGCAAGGCCCCAAGTACTTGGGCTTTCCCGGATGCATCAGCAGGAAGTCAGATCAGAAGAGGAGCAGCCAGGACACAAACTGGTACTCATTTGGGATGTTGCTGCTGCCACAGGCAGCGGCTTGGCCTACTATGTCAATGACTCTTTAAAAAAGTCTTTATACGTTTTCAAGTTCCTCTCTATTACTAATTTGATGAAAGACTTTGTCATAATGGAAATCAGTAAAATGACCCCATGATTTTCCCCATGAGTGTGCTGATATAGTTTTTTTTGTTTTTTTTTTTTTTTTTTGGACAGGTAGAGTCATAGACAATGAGAGACAGACAGAGAGAAAGGTCTCCCTCCCTTCTGTTGGTTCATTCCCCAAATGGCTGCTACGGCTGGCGCTGCGCCGATCCGAAGCCAGGTGCATCTTCCTGGTCTCCCATGCAGGTGCAGGGCCCAAGGACTTGGGCCATCCTCCAGTGCCCTCCTGGGCCACAGCAGAGAGCTGGACTGTAAGAGGAGCAACCGGACAGAACCCGGCGCCCATATGGGACACTGTCAGCTTTCTCCACGTGAAGTCACTCTGCATGCTTTTTCACAGTACTCTGCAGAATGCAATCCCTGAGCACAGTCCACATGGAACAAAGGGGCGCTGACCCTGCCTCCTTGAGGATTTGTCTCTTTCTAAGCACTTAGGAGAGTTCTCTCTTTCCACTCATTCATCCAACAACCATTTATATCAGTGTGGACTGATGAATCCATTTCATAACCTAGTTATGATGTAACACTGCCTCATTTGTTATGCAAATTACTCGCTTTGGCCACCAGAAGTCCCAGTGTGCCTGTGGACAGATGTCATTACTCGGGCTCTTGACCATCCTTTCTATCACCTATTTCTACCTCTATGTTCTATTTCCATCTACTTGAAAGGCAGACTACACAGAGAGAGACCTCTTCCAGCCACTGGTTCACCCCCTTACCGGCCAGGGCTGGCGAGGACAAAGCCGGGAGCCTGCACTCCATCCAGGTCTCCCACGCGGGTGACGGGTGACGGGCGAAGCTCTGGAGCCGTCATCTCTGCCCTCAGGATGCATCAGCATAAAGAAAGATCAAAGGCAGAGGCTCAGCCTGCAGCGCCGAGGCCCTGAAGGCACCGTAGAAGGTCGGGGACTCGCAGAACCAGCTGTTTCTGCAAGGAGTTCTGACTCTCTGACTGGAGCACAGCATCAGGAACCAGTATGTGAGCACTTGTACTTGATCTAGAGCTGCACCACTACTTTTAGACCCTCTCAAGCTTACAAGCAAATGTCTTTTGGGAATCATTGTTATGGTTAACTTAAAATATGTTTTTAAAATAAATAAAAGATTTATTGAGAGATCCTCCATCGGCTGGTTTACCCTCACAAACTGGCCATAACAGCTGGGCTGGGTCAGGCTGACGCCAGGAGCCTAACTCCAGCCAGGTTTCCCCTGTGGGTGGCAGGGGCCCAGGTACTCGTGCTACTGTATGGTGCCCTCCCAGGTGAATTCACAGGGAGCTTGATCAGAAGTGGAGCAGGGGCTGGCACTGTGCCTCAGTGGGCTAAGCCTCTGCCAGTTTGTGTACCAGCTGCTCTTCTTCCCATCCAGCTCTCTGCTGTGGCCTGGGAAAGCATCAGAAGATGGCCCAAGTGCTTGGGCCCCTGCACCCACGTGGGAGACCCAGAGGAAGCTCCTGGCTCCTGGCTTTGGATTGGTTTAGCTCTCGTCATTGCTGCCATCTGGGGAATGAATCAGCAGATGGAAGACCTCTCTCCCCCTCTGACTTTACCTCTCAAATATAAATAAAATCTTTTAAAAAAAAGGTGTGGAGGGGGGAGCAGTTGGAACAAACTGGCACTCAATGAGATACCAGCAGCGCAGTTTAACTGGCTGTGCCACGACACCGGCCCCACGTCAACGTCCGATGGCGCTCCTCTACTCAGCCCCGTCCCCGTTTCCCAGTACGACTGAAGGCATCTTCATCCTGCTGCTGTGGGCTTCATTTCTAGCAGCTCCATATTATCTTCATCATTTTGCCATCTGTTCACATTTTGTCTACTTTTTTCACAAATCTTTTTTTTATAAATTTATTTATTTGAAAGGCAGAGTTGCAGACAGGCAGAGGCAGAGGCAGAGGCAGAGGCAGAGGCAGAGGCAGAGAGAGAGAGAGAGAGAGAGAGAGAGAGAGAGAGAGAGGTCTTCCATCTGCTGGTTCACTCCCCAGATGGCAGCAATGGCCAGAGCTGTAATGATCCGAAGCCAGGACCCAGGAGCTTCCTCCGGGTCTCCCATGTGGGTGCAGGGCCCAAGCACTCAGGCCATCTTCTACTGCTTTCCTAGGCCATAGCAGAGAGCTGGATCAGAAGTGGGGCAGCCGGGTCTCAAACCTGGGCCCATATGGGATTCTGGCACTGCCGGCGGTGACTTTACCACTATGCCACAAGTCTTTAACGTGTGAATCATACTTATATTGCATCCCCTCTGATAGTTCTAACGTGCTGGGGTCCAGTTTCATTTACTGCTTGTTCTCGCCATCTTGTGTAGGACAGCAGAACAGATGTAAGCAGTACGAATGTAAGGAAGGACGCTGCCCTCCTCCTGCAGGATTCCAGGCAGGGGCAGCAGTCGACCTCCTCACAAGCTCTGGCCCAGGTCTGAGCGGTCACTGACGACGTCGACTTCACCCACCCTCTCACTATGTGTCCACTCCCAGCTGGCGGTCTTCCCTTTCAACCTGCTGCTGGGCCCTGGGAGGCTCCACCCTTCCACACACCAGTCCTTCCTGCATCAACAAGCTGTGGCCACTCGTTCCTGGGTGCCTGGGAGCCTGGAGGGTGCGGGGAAGCTCTGTTGCCTTGCTCAGCCTCACTCTTAGGTGGCAAAGTGCCCCTGGGTCTGAGGGGTGGGGCTTTCTCAGTAGCCCTGTCCTTACTCCAGCGATAAGGACTCCCTAACGGCCTGGGCCCAGAATGTCTTTTTGCCTCTCTCAGGATAGAAGGTTCTATTTACTTTTGTTTTTTTCTGATCTGCTCCTCCTACTGCAAACAGTCATCACCTGCATCTTCAGGGTTAACGGCTGCCATTTTCTCGGTGGCTTCAGAGGGAAGAAGGACCCTGGAGGGAACCATGCACTTGCCCCAAGGCTGCCGCGCCTCTCCCTTCCCCTGGCCAAAACCACAAGAAGGCCTTGTCTGGTCTCTCGCCTTGTCACTAGTGTTTCTCACAAACAAGAGTGTAGGTGCATGCCTATGAACCCCTGTCTCCGGGCCTGCGTGTGTGTGTGTGTGTGTGTGTGTGTGTGTGTGTGTCTCCTTGCCCTCTGCAGTTCTCTGGAAACCATACACCCCACTGTTAGCCTCCCATACCCATTAAAAAAAAATCAGAACTCTACTTTTATCAAGATGAAAACAATGTCTAAGAGAAGGTACCTGGCTGCTCCAGCATAAAAGCTGTTGACACTCTAACTCGCCTTTTTCTCATTTTTTGAACACTGTTAAAGTAATCTGGAATTCATTCCATTTTTTTCAACATCTGACTTATTATTTCAAATCACTTTTAATATCACTACTCATTTTTAAAAACTTTATTTGAGCCGGCGCCGCGGCTCACTAGGCTAATCCTCTGCCTTGTGGTGCCGGCACCCCAGGTTCTAGTCCTGGTCAGGGCGCCAGATTCTGTCCCGGTTGCCCCTCTTCCAGGCCAGCTCTCTGCTGTGGCCTGGGAGTGCAGTGGAGGATGGCCCAGGTGCTTGGGCCCTGCACCCCATGGGAGACCAGGAGAAGCACCTGGCTCCTGCCATTGGATCAGCGCGGTGCACCGGCCGCGGCGGCCATTGGAGGGTGAACCAATGGCAAAAAAGGAAGACCTTTCTCTCTGTCTCTCTCTCACTGTCCACTCTGCCTGTCAAAAAAAAAAAAAAAAAAAAGAAAAAAGAAAAAAAAACCTATTTATTTGAAAGTCAGACTACATAGAGAGAGGAAGGGAAGGGAAGAGAGCGAGCAAGAGCGAGCCTCCACCCACTTGCTCACTCCCTGAGATGGCCAGGGTGAAGCTAGGAACCTCTCCCAGGTCCCCCACGTGGGTGATGGGGACCACGTACTTGACCCATCATTCAGTGCCTTCTCAGGCACATTAGCAGGCAACTGGATCAGAAGCAGAGCAACCAGGACTCAGAACCTACACTCTGATGATGGGATTCTGGCACCACAAACAGGTTTAGCCTGATGCACCACAAGGCTGGCCCCAACCACTGGCTTTGAAATAAGCTAAAAGCAAAACAACATGGTTCATCCGGTAAAATTTAAGGAAAGCTTACGTTGGTCGCCGTGTCTCAAGTAACGTCAGCAAGATCTGGATTGCACTGACTATGGCTGATTCATTTTTCTCCTTGTGGAAAATATTTGATAGAAGCTGCTCTATGATTTCTTGCCTAGGGAAGAAAAACCAACGGTTTAGTGCTAACTGCAACGTCATTTAATACCAAAGACTTCAGAAAAAGATCATGGCACAAGAATTACGCATTACATAAGCATTCAACCACGCCTGGACATGCTTGCTTTACTTAATACTTCATTTTCCTACATTTATTTAACAAAGAAAGTCACCCTCTACTCAAGACCACGGTGGTGTGGTGGCGGCAGCACCACAGGCAGTCAGAAGACACAATCCTTCACTCTACCAAAGAACCCAACTGAGACTCATAAAGTTTCCCACAAAGACATGAATGTGTAATTAACAAAGCTCTAAACCACGTATCAAAAAAGGACATCAGTTGTTGCACTTTTCACTCCACAAATAAAATTTGGTAAATAACCCGTCCTAGCAGCAATGCACTGATCTGACGGAGCAGTTGCCCGGAAGGTGCCCCTGGCAGGCTCTCCCGTTCCCAGCCTCGCACACATGTGGAAAACACAGGGTCATCTGTTCATCTAGGTGGCAGTGCTCACGGGCAAGCTCAGGTTCTTGAGATCTCAGTAATCTTCTGAATCCAGGTAAATGAAGAAATGGAATCCTCACAACGTGACACGCTACTGGACTGGCCCCGGCTGCTCACCATCTCCAGGGACAAGTCAGCTCCCTGTGCTGGATGACCTCCGCTGACCACTGCTCACCAGGCCCGGGCAGCACACAGGACAAGCAAGTGAGGACTGGTATCTAATCGAACCTCACAGAATCCCCCACAGGAAGTGGTTTTCAGGTGCTCCCAGGTAGCACGGAAACGTCAATCACAACACAACAGCTGTCTATGCGACTGTGTCCTGCCTCCTACAGGAAATGCATGTGTTCCTCAGGCAGCGCCGAGCAGCCACTCACACCTCCCGTGCCTACAGGTAGCAGCTACCAGAGGCCCCAGCCATTCCACCTCTGCACACGGGAGGTCCCTGGATCTATGAAAGCCTTCTACTGACGGATAAAACGAGGCAGTAACACAACAAATACAAATTTGGCTATCAAGAATCAACAGCAGCTGTGCTATATTCTGAGTCTTACCTAAACATGCCAACATCAGCACATACAGAAGAAATAACAAACCAAAAGACTGAGCTTGGGGCTGGCGCTGTGGCAGAGCTGAAAGGCCGCCGCGGGCAGCACCGGCATCCCATATGGGTGCCAGTTCCAGTCCTGGCTGCTCCTCTTCCAATCCAGCTCTCTGCTGTGGCCTGGCCTGGGAGAGCAGTGGAGGATGGCCCAGGTGCTTGGGCCCCTGCGCCCGCCTGGGAGACCTGGAGGAAGTTCCTGGCTCCTGGCTTCGGATCAGCGCAGCTCTGGCCGATGCGGCCATTTGGGGAGTGAACCAGCAGATGGAGGACCTCTCTCTGCCTCTCCTTCTCTCTCTGTGTAATTCTTTCAAATAAATAAATAAATCTTAAAAAAAAAGGCTGAGCTTATCAAACCAGATAAAGGAATGTTTTCACATTGTTGAAATTTAAGAAATGCTTATTTACAAGCAAGAGAAAATAGTCACTTTCAAACTAGAAACAAAAAACAAACACACACCAAATGCTGTGTGGCCGTCAGTAACACCCAGGAGCCGCTGCGTCTCCTGCCCATGCGTCTGGGACAACGGCTCAGTCCTGCTGTTCAAGGGGTAGCAAAGATGGCCTTCTCAGACACTAACTGGCTCACTCGTGTAAGAAGTAAGAGACACAAAGTCCAATGCTAATACATTCTTAAAGGAATTTCCAACTTCAAAAATGTCCAGTGCTAGCAGATGTAAGGAATTCAGTTTAGACTCGGACTGCTTCTCAAGCCGAATGTTCAGCACGCAAACTTCAGTTGGCTGCCTGGCTCTACTCTCCCCACGATCGCTAAGCGCCTGTCAAACTTCTCCCTGAGTGCTGGCCAACACTTCTATTTACCTACATGACACCTGCATGGATAGTGGTACCCAAACTGTTGGCTGTTTGACATAATACAGCTAAGCAGTTGACTTGCATTTTATAAAGTACTGCCATACTGCTTAATATATTATTGCAATGTAAATATAGATCCTACATACCTGTGTCAGATATTCACAGATGCTACTACAGTTAATGAACACTTGCTAAATTCATTTTGTCAGTCGTAGCACAGGCAGGAGCACATCAGACATTGGGCGGGACTGGCTCCCTGTTACTTCTCCCCACTGCTACCGCAGCGGAGGCTGCATCTGCTGACGTCACAGGACCAGGATGCACCCGGTCACTTATTCCAGCTATTGTTTAAAGATGCAGATCCCCGGGACGGGCGTTGTGGCATAGCACCGCGCTGCCCAGGATGCCGTCTCATGCTCTACTTCTGATCCAGCCCCTTGTTAAAGGAGCTGGGAAAAGCAGAAGATGGCCCGAGTGCTTGGGATCCTGCACCCTGGGGAGACTGGGATGGAGCTCCAGCCTCCTGCTCTGGCCTGGTCATTGCAGCCACTTGAGGAGTGAACCAGCAGATGGAAGATGGATCTCTCTCCCAGCCCCCCACCTACAAATAAATAAACAAATCAATCTTATAAAAAGATGTAGCTCCAGACATGGAACTGCAGGAACTGCAGGTGCCCGAGCCCGGCCTGAGCCACAGCTGCACATCAAAGCCAGCGCTCAGTGCTCAGTCGCGCTCAGCATCGCCAGGGCTTGGGCTCTGGTGCCCCTCAGAGCCCACAGGCTCTGGATGCTCAAGTCTTTCATGTAACCTATGCACATCCTCCCGTACACAAATCGTCCCAGGATGACTCAGAAAGGCAGTGCCAGGAAAACCGCTGTTACGCAGTGTGCAAGAAAGCAGTCCACACGGGTCTGATCAGACACACGTTCCGCCAGACCTTTCTAATCAGAAGCTGGCGGAGCCGGTGGCCACGGGAGCAGCAGGGAGGGAGGGCTGGCGGCACATACTCAGGCTCTGGTGATGAGGTCACAGTGGTACTCAAATGAAGTTGCACGGATGACAGGCTGTGGTGGTGTGAGCAACTCAGACCGCACAGCAGAGGAGTCTGCTGGCCAGGCTGACCCTGCCACAGCCCAGCGAAGCCACGTGCAGCTGATGAGTACTCCAAACAGCAGCCAGCTGGCCAGACATGTGTGAAGTATAGAGCATACACTGTAGGGCTGGCACTGTGGGTGCTGCTTCGAGTCCTGGCTGCCCACTTCTGATCCAGCTGTCTGCTGTGGCCTGGGAAAGCAGCGGAGGTTGGCCCAAGTGTTTGGGCCCCTGCACCTGCGTGGGAGACCCAGAAGAAGCTCCTGGCTTTGGGTTGGCGCAGCTCTGGCCATTGCAATCTGGGGAGTGAGTTGGCAGATGGAAGACCTCTCTCTCTCTCTCTGCCTCTCCTTCACTGTCTGTGTAACTCTTTCAAAATAAATAAACCTTTTTTTTAAAAAAAGCATACATCTTAAGACTTTATAAAAATATCTTTTTAAATACATGAAGCTTTCATTGTATTTCAACCAGACAGCACCATGGTGGGCCATATGAAATTGCTGATATCAACATTTTTAACTGATTCAAATGGCCATTTTAAACGTTCAACCTCACATTCAGTCAGTATTTAAATGGGAAATTCTTGTAGGCGTAAAAGAAGTGCCCAAGCCACAATGCCAAGAACAACTCAAACAAGGCAGGCGGGGCTCCAGTGACTCTCCTAGTTTTGCTACTTGAGAGGACTCGTCTACTCCTAACACCTAACACACGCGCAAAGCACAGCGCGACACGGGAACAGAGCCTCAAACAGGGCATCTTTTCTCTAATTTCTTCCTTATCTCACGCTGGCCAATGAAATAATAAACACACACCTTTTATTTTAATCAACGGGCCTTACAGGGAGGTGAGCCAAAAGATGCAAAAGAAATGCAACACAGGAGGACTGAACAGAGGACCGGCCTAGGAAAACCTCCAACAGCAGGAAACTGAAGCAGGACAGCGTCTTAACGATGCTGGCCGCAGGCACCGCAGGCACTCCTTCCAGCTGTCCAGCCGCGGGGGGAAATGCCCGACGTCCCCACTGAAGCCACTTTTCAGCTGTCTGGAGGCAGGTCAAACGTATGCCAGTGCTGACAGGAGAGGTCCTTTCTGAAAATGCCAACCTGGACAACCTGGACGCTCCCTCCCCAAGCTGCCTTCCAGCTGATCCTGGACAACCTGGACGCTCCCTCCCCAAGCTGCCTTCCAGCCGATCCTGACCTAACTGCTCAGGCTGCCTGCGTGAGCCGCAGACACGGCAAGTCCCACGAAGTCTGACAGGAATCGCCAACCAGAAAGGATCCGATCAGCACGCGTCCAAGACCGTTCCCCCTAAGGACCCCTGGAGGCAGCGACCACGTCTCCTGGTGGCTTCTCAGCTTTCTGCTTCGCAGACCCCAAGATCTCCAGGCCGCACAGAAACGTCTGTGTGTACCGTGTGCCTGGGGCTGCCTTCTCCCCGACCCGAGGGCAGGACTGTTTTCACAGGCGGGCACTTACCAGTCACACATGCGTACACCGTGTCAAACAGTACCGACAGGAAAGCAACAAGAACAGAACTTCAAACATACTTTTCTAGAGTGGCCAGCAGGGGATCTGGTTCTGCACTGTTCTGAATTTGTAGCATCTGGTCTCTGCTCAGGCGAACAATTTCACAAAGCGATTGTGACGCATTTGAATGCCGCTGAAGGAAGAAAGCACAATTTTAACTATCAGTATACACCCGACGCTAGGAGAAGCGAGTTCTGACAGGGAAGGCTCCACAGAAAAGGTGGATCTCCAAAACCCACGTCTGCGGCACAGAAAGACACATGCAACTCTTTGGAGGAAAAAAAAAAAAAAAAGGAAACAGCACTTCTGAAACACAACAGTGGGTAAGCGCCATCAGGCTCTGTGGTGCAGTGTGTCTACCTTCTGGAACAGATCCAAGCCCTCGGTGCCCACACACAGTGTCCTCCATGGCGCGGGAGCCTGAGCAGAGCTCAGACTGAGGGCTGAACCTCTGCATCCCAGCACACCAGCTGGCCACACAGAGACAGCCAGCCCCACTACCCTAGGACTCCCTCAACAAGGATATGGTGATCAGTGTGACTTTAGCAGGCTCTCTGTCCCCTAACGCAACGCAGAGTAGCAACGGGACTGCGGAAAGGCAACATCGACTGCCTTCTGCATCAAGCAGGAAGGTGCTGCGTGCCCAAGGCTTTCCCTCCCAGGAACACATGCTGCAGGAGCGGGCTTCTCCCTATCAGGGCCCGGCCCTGCAGAGCGGACGGTCAACTTCATCTGCTCATGAACCTGAACCTGATGAGGAGCAAGATGCCTTGTAGAAATTACACCCAGAAGTGGGGCAGACCACACCCCTGTCCTTACCTCCCTGTCCTGCACGGCCACAGTTCTGTCTCTCGGCGACTGTGGGGCCCTCTGCCCACAGGACAGCGCTTACACCCCTTAGCTCCGAGACACACAGCTGCCCACAGGACGGCACTTATATCCCCACAGCTGCCTCTGGGCAGGCGTTCTCACGCCAAAGTACTCCTTTGCCATCAAACCCCTGTATGCACGTGGAGTGTCCAGAAGGTCCCGAGAGGAAACTCTGAGGAAGGGCTGGACTCTAACAGGTACCTCTGGTTTTCTTTCATCTTTGGGGGAAGCCTGCTTCAGATAACTCCAGGTACCAAAGGCTCTGAAAGGACCAGTTAGACCCACTGCCATAGAACGTCCCTTTGTGACAGAGATGGCCTGTCCTCTGGCCACCTGCTTCTTCCCTGGCACTGGCACACACAGCGCTCATCCTCCCAGAGGCACACAGGATGTCCCCTGGCCCCAGGACCCTGTGTGTTCCCCTTAAGCCCATTCCTTTGTAGCCAGCAGACTGAATCATGAAGAACTCCATGCATACAGGTAAAGCTGACCACAGACAACTGCAATGGCTTGGCCTTGATACTTCTTTGGGTGACCAGTTTACAGTTACCTGTTACAGTGACAGACACTCACAGGTTCTGGCATACCACCCCTCAGCACAGAGCTCAGCCTGCAAACCCCCAATCAAGCTCGATCCTGCTGGCAATCTTTAGCACCCAGGACTTTAGCGCTGAAGAGCCAGGGCCAGGAAGTCCAACAAGCAAGTCTCTGGGAGCCTCAGTGGTGCCCAGTCTCGCTGTGCTGCCTGCGAAGCTTCAGACAGACCGAATGCAGATGTGGGCAAAGATGGGGACAGAAGAAACAGGACAGGTGGAGTACGACGGGCGGGCAGGTTCAAATGGAATCCCCGCTTGGGACAGTCAACGGTACCTAGAACAGGGCCTGCTATTTCACCTTTTAGAAACTTCCATGAAATATTCTTTAGAAAATTGCTAACTTCAAGAAAGCCAGATTACCTCTACTCTACCTGTCTCCTCTGATAATCTTCACTCCCAGCACAAGGGATGTCCTGGGGCTGCACACTTTGATTTAAAACAAAATCGTTTCAGTCACACAGGAGAACTTACATCTTCTTCTTGCGATGGATGCACTATCTCCACAAGCCTCTGGACAATGTTCTCCTCATTTAACCACTGTAAAACACATGGCAGAGGTAATCATAGCAGCGAGCGGCTCTTGTTCAAGACCCCATGCAGATTAACACGCTTGGAAATGTCCATCACATTGTAAGTAGAATGTTACAGGTTTCTCTGGACTCTGAACACTACAGAAAATTAGAAGTCCTCCAAGGAGAACAACAGTGACTACACTGTTTCAACATGTGAGCGACAGTACCAACAACTCCCCAAACTACAGTCCCCACATACAAACAAACCTTAGCCATGGAAGAAGTCCCACACATCCAGCACTAAAAGGGCCTAATCCCCACATACAAACAAACCTGTCCATCAGGTCCTAGCCATGGAAGAAGTCCCACACATCCAGCACTAAAAGGGCCTACACTTTAGTTACCCAAGGGGAGAGCAACAGGTGCAAAGACACACTTAAAGCATTTTCTATGATTCTAGCTCCCGAAACATTGAGAACAGCCACAGTTTGTATCAAGCCTCTGGTTAAGAAAAGACACAGCAGCGTGAGAAAGGTGCCCTTAGATTTGAGAACCACACCCACTGCAAGGAGCCTGGGGCACTGTGGAAGCTCAGTTCCCAGCCCTGTCACACTGGCAAGGATCTGTCGGCAGGACATGAAGATATGGACAGGATCAGAATAGGGAAAAACACAGGGAAAGCCAGCTGGCTTCAACAAAGACAATCCCTAAAAGCATTAAGGAGCTAGCGGGGCAGGCAGCAAGAACTCAACACAACTTGCCAAAGATGCAAGAAGCAGCCCTGACATTGTTTCTGGCTCCTAATGGGGAACACACCAACTAAAGACAAATGCAAACAAAAGCTATGAGCTGAGCGCTGCTGAGGGAAAGGCCCAACTTTATCATTTAAGATCTGCTTTAAAATGTGCCCACAAATCAGCCAAGAACCTTGTTAGAACAGAGTCTGATCCTACAGGCCAGCATGAAACCTGAGTGGACGGATTTCCAAGAGGCCCACACGTGATGAGTGGGACCACATTCTGAAACCAGGAAATCCCCTGATGGTGGACGGATTAGTCCCGGATTCTTTTTTTTTTTTTGACAGGCAGAGTGGACAGTGAGAGAGAGAGAGAGACAGAGAGAAAGGTCTTCCTTTGCCGTTGGTTCACCCTCCAATGGCCGCCGCGGCCGGCGCGTTGCGGCCGGCGCACCACGCTGATCCGATGGCAGGAGCCAGGAGCCAGGTGCTTTTCCTGGTCTCCCATGGGGTGCAGGGCCCAAGCACCTGGGCCATCCTCCACTGCACTCCCTGGCCACAGCAGAGGGCTGGCCTGGAAGAGGGGCAACCGGGACAGAATCCGGCGCCCCGACCGGGACTAGAACCCGGTGTGCCGGCGCCGCTAGGCGGAGGATTAGCCTAGTGAGCCGCGGCGCCGGCCTAGTCCCGATTCTCACTGTCCCCACAAGCCACTCACAAATACCTACACCCCAGCCCCCTGTTGGAGAAACACCCTAAGACGGCTGGCCGGGGGTTCCCACCTGCCTGCCCCTAGCCGAGGTCTTTGGTAACCTCCTCATTTTCTCTGCTTCAGAAGCGCACCTACTGCCCTGCCCTGGGCACCACCCAATACCCTTGCGAGCCCGCCTGTCTCTCCGTCTGGACCTTTCTGTCTTTGACTAAAATTAGCATATTCAACGTATCCATTCCCATAGAATGAGTGCGTTCTGAGGTTCCAGATGAGTACTAAAGACGGACTGGAGCAGGTAATGGTTCTGGAAGGCAGAGAAGGGAAAGACAGGGAGAAGAGGGGCAGATGACTGCCTTGGAGAACCTACCCTACTCTCTTCCCAAATTCCACCTAAGACAAGCACTCAAAGGGCACAGCCCCTAAAGTCGCCCGTAAAGGAAGTCCTTTTCGAAGTGAATTCGTTCTCCTCTGCTGCCCTGCTCCTGCGGCCGGACTTCTGGCCACACGCAGGAAGGAGGCCTCATGCAGGAGCTCCCGACCTCCTCAGCTGCGCTCTGAGAGCCAGACCCAGCTCTAAGACACACACTTAACCCATCCCACTCCCCAGCAAAGGAGAAGACGCTCCATCGCCCCACACACCCGGAGCCCCGTCCTCCAAACCTGACCGCCTCCCACACCTGACAACAGCCCTCTGGCCCTGCCCCTCGGCTGGGACCGCCTGGCCGTTTCTCAGGCCCGGCGGTCGGCCGCAGGCCGGAGCTGTACTCACGTTCAGCACATCCTGCCTGGGCTGTGGAGGCTCGATGCAGGTCAGCAGCCGCAGCAGCAAGTCCATGATGGCGGACGTGCCTATGTGCTTGATGATCAGGTCTACGAAGTCACGCTTCTTCTTCAGGAAGTCCACAATCTAGAGCAGAGCAGACGGAGACCTGAGAGACACAGAGCGCGCCAGAGCGCTCACACCCTGCCTGCTCCTCCAAAATCCCACCATCCCTTTAGGCTGAGACACGGGCTAACACGCTGCATCACCAGGTCGGGCTGAGATCCACGTTCAAACCCCTCAGAAGCAGCTTCCCAAGTGCAGCACAGAGTTCCTAATAAAACGCAACGTGACAGAATCTCGGCTTTCTACTCAGCTTTATTATTAATTCTCAAAGACTGTGGATCAGAAATGGAATATCCTATAAAGAACACAAGAATGTAGCATTTACAATTTATGTACAAAGAGCAATTCCCTTAGACGTTGCACTAAAGTACAGAATATTCACAATCTCCATTATAGTCTAGGAAAAGAAAAAGAACATTCAGAGGTAAAGATTTCTACTCCCGTCAGAGTAACGCGATTGCCCCAGGAGGGCGGCTGGCGGGGGCTACAGAAACCAGGCTCTGTCGCTGTGTCTCTTCGGCACTGGCCTGCAGGGAGAGGGACGCTACTCGCCCCTCCCCGGCGTGCTCTCTCACTTGTGCTCCTGTGCCCAAATCATCGGCTCCAAGTCCCTGGCGCAGTGAGGCCAGTGCGGCAGCTGCTGTAACAGAATCTCGCTGAAGTCTCTCCAAGTCCCGAGGGTCGGGACTGAGTACAACATTACAGATGAGGAACCCACGGGTCAGACAGGTCAAGTACCTTCTAGAGCAAAAGAGTGGCTGCCGTGGGACGTGAACTTAGATCTGTACGTACTGCGAAAGCCACACCCTTCCGTTATCCCGCATAAGGACTAACAGCCAGAGAAATACAGGATTAACATTGCTTCTCTAGACAACGAGGTTAAACACTGTGATAGAAATCTTCAAGAAATGACACAACTCAGTCCCGTAGTAGTTTTTTAAAAGGACAGTAGAACAGGAAAGTTCCATGTGACCCAAACACGTCACAATTTGGTGGCAGAAACACTGGGCCTGGAGCTCAGAGGCACAGAGCACAGCCAGAGCTACGGGCAGTACAGCAAGGACCGGATGGCACTGCTGAGGTGTGAAGCCGCGCGACACGGAGGACACCCTACAGCTGGGCAAGCTGGTACACGTCTCCACTGGGTAAGCCAGTCAAGTCTGGGCTTTTCTCATTACTCCAGCTGCACAGACCCGAACACTGTCACCTATCAAGACAGTAACATTAACAGGAAACCTTCGTTTACACCTGGGCCTGACTGGGCCTCCCTATAGCTAAGAGAGCAAGGGCCCGCCTGCCTGAGCTGTGGCCAGGGAGCTAGGGCGTGAACATGACGAGCAGCTGCTGGCTGTGTGGGACTGGCAGGGCTGACTCTGAGATCTAACACAAATACTCAGAGACCCCAACAGCTCTAAGTGTGTTCTTGCTCTTCAGCATATGCACACTGAATATCATGCCTTGCAAAACGGGGTTCCAAGTGAGGAGAAATGGCCAGATGAAGCACCGTATCTTGGTAACAGCTACAAGCACTTCTCAAGACCCACTGCAACGCCAGGGCAGTGTGACGGCTTGCACTCGCCAAAGCAGCCAGAAGGCAGAGCAGGAGACAGTCTGTGTGGGAGGAACCCCGATTTGGGATGACCACCTACGACAGAGGAATCGTAATCTCTTTATTTTATTATTATTATTTTTTTTGACAGGCAGAGTGGACAGTGAGAGAGAGAGACAGAGAGAAAGGTCTTCCTTTGCCATTGGTTCACCCCTCAATGGCCGCTGCGGCCAGTGCACCGTGCTGATCCAAAGGCAGGAGCCAGGTGCTTCTCCTGGTCTCCCATGGGGTGCAGGGCCCAAGCACTTGGGCCATCCTCCACTGCACTCCCGGGCCACAGCAGAGAGCTGGCCTGGAAGAGGGGCAACCGGGACAGAATTCGGTGCCCTGATCGGGACTAGAACCCGGTGTGCCGGCGCCGCAGGCGGAGGATTAGCCTAGTGAGCCGCGGCGCTGGCACAGGAATCGTATTCTCAATACGTTTAGGAAGGTCATCTTTACTCAAGAGCAGGAGAGGACACCATCATCTTTCTCAAATAAAATACGCATCTGTGCTGCCCGGGCACAAGACAGAGCACGGGCCCAGGAGAACTCCCTTCCTCCTTGTGTGTGGACGGCAAGGACAGCACATTAGATCTGCCAACCGGGAGGTGCCTGGCCACCTTCACCAGACCCGTAGCCTGTGCGGCTGTGCAGTCTGCGGGGGTCTGCACTGCGCAGCTGGAGCCCCCGTAGTTCCCTGGGTGCCCACGTCCATGAACTGACTCTGACCTCTTGGTAAGCAGATCCTCTTCCGCACCCACATCCACTCGCGCAGTGGTTGTCAAATTCTAGCACATTCAAGTCAGCCGGAACTAAACAAAAACTAAGTGGGACCCAGGCTGCTGGGCCCGCTGCCAGTGTCTCTGACTCAGCAGTCGGGGGGCTTCAGGGCCTGCGTTTCTAACGAAGTCTCAAGTGATCGGACGCTGCCGGCCCAAGGGTCTCACTTGCAGAACCACTGGACACACAGAACTTCCCAAGTGCATTGAATTAAGAACAAAGCAAAACAAGGTGAAGAGGAAGAAGAGGAGGAGGAGGAGGAGGAGGAGGAGGAGGAAGGGGAGGAGGACAGGGCCCAACCACAAGAGAACAGCAGAGCCACATCCAGATGTCTCAAGCTACGCATTTCAGCTTTTAAGTAAAATCAAAACAAAAATCACCATTTATAAAAACCAATCAAAAACTACATTTGTGAGCAAGCTTCACTTGTGATCAAGAGGGAAGAACACGAAACAGAGCAACCATCTGGCAGCAGGAGTCCCCGAGAGCCCCGGCTTCTCCAACAGCGGTGCTGCGGCAGCTCCTCAATAACCGGAGTCTCCTTAAAACGCGTGAACCAATTAGTGAGACCGGAGGCACCGGGGGCACTGAGCACCGCACACGTCACGTGAGGGACCCACCAGCCTATCAGTCAGCGTCACGTCAGTGCGTACAGACGGGGCACTGAGCACCGCACACGTCACGTGAGGGACCCACCAGCCTATCAGTCAGCGTCACGTCAGTGCGTACAGACCGGGGCACTGAGCGCCACACACGTCACGTGAGGGACCCACCAGCCTATCAGTCAGCGTCACGTCAGTGCGTACAGACCGGGGCACTGAGCGCCGCACACGTCACGTGAGGGACCCACCAGCCTATCAGTCAGCGTCACGTCAGTGCGTACTCCACACTATTTTATCTTACAGAATCTGAGCTTAAGGCAAACTCAGAGGACTACATCGACATCCCTGGGAGACCATGGCAGGGGACGGTCAGCCCTAATACTTACCTCTTGGAAAGCAATATTTACCTGTTCTGGTTTTCTGCTGATAAGAATACTTAGCACCTTGCTGAAGAAACTGGCAAGCAGTGGGTTGAGGGGGGGGTCGTTTAGGAGGAAGCTATACAATCTCATCAGCAAGGATTCATCCTCTCCCAGTCTCTCATTCATCTGGGAGACATCGGAAGTGAGCAACTCACAAGATATATTTGGATACCTAGAAGAACAGGATACTCACATCATCATCTATGTAACAGTTCAAAACACAGAGTAAAACACAATCAGGAAGACTTCCTACAATTCTGTGAATACAACAAAGTTAACTACTCAGAGTGAGACGATCATTTCAACCCATTCTGTCCAACCTCTATTGATTAAAATGAATTATCCACTTTTAAAGGCTTTGCTAAAATACACTTTCCCTGAGCCAAAGGAGGCCACCCTGCAGGTCCAGGGCCTTCCCGGTCATCGGTGAGAGCAGAGACTGCAGGTAGAAGCCACTGGGCTGCAGCCCCAGCTCCCTGGTGTGGTGTGGACGCGGCACGGCTCAGACAACTGTGGAACTGCTGGTTTTCCAGGACTCTGCGCGGCACACAGCCCCCTACGATGACTCAAGGCACGTGGCAGGACCAGACACAGTTGCCTCTACTTTTAGATGGCTTGTAAATGATATAGAAGTTGTTTTGGGAGTTTCTTCAAGTGTTCAGTTTACAGTTCATCCTAAGAGAATGAATAACCTACTACACTGAGGAGAACAAACCGAGTTCCCCAGGGAGGAAGCTGTACACAAAAGTGTGCCCTCCGGGCAGCCTCCTAGGGATTAGGGGAGACACGGGCGCTTTCACCACAGTCCAGACCTGCAGGACACAGGCCCACGGACAGCAACACCTGCTCTGGCCGCAGAGCTCCAGACACGCTTGCAGCTGCTGACCACACGGCTCGGTCTCTGTACAATAGGCCGCACACCCTTCTCCACTCACTTCCTGGACCACAGTTTCTCACCTATTTTCCACAGTAACAATGGGGCCTCCAAGGCCAATCCAGATGACGCTCTGTCTGACCTGACCCGCTTCCCAGCTCTCTTCTACTCCTCCCTGTCTGGAAGCCAGGACCCATTAGGAGCAATGAACTAGACCACGCAGGCGACAAAACTGCCAAAAATGACCACATGACAAAAAAGACACAAGGAATGTGGGCCAGAATGTGTGCAGGTAAGCGAGTGGCCATCCGCTCAGACCCCCGGCTCAGAGAGGGTCTGCTGTGACGTCGGAACAGCACAGATGAACCTCTGCAGGAACAAGCCGGAACAGAAAGGACGTGCACCTGGCAGCCGCGTGGGCTCGAGAATCACATCGGCAAACAGTGGCGTCTGGGGGTTCACGGTGCAGTCTCCCTCACTTTACCAAACACCGTGATACAAACTCCCATCAAGACCCACAAACCCAGGGCAGCACAGTGCGCTGCTGCACACTGCTACTCCTCAGTGCCCGGTTCAGAACCCGCCTCCACTGCTTCCATCCTGCACAACCTGCACAGCTCCCATAACTCCTCTGGGCCTCCGTTTCCGAGTTCCTAGCATTGAGACAACGGCTCATCTCACGGAGGAGGGTAACACACAGAATCCTGAGAGGAGGCCTGGCAGAAAGGAGTGTCTAATGAATGGCAGCTGTTCTAATTCCTCTTTATCTTCTACCATAAAACTGCAAAAATGCAGTTTGCTGGAGGACCGGGGAGGGGTACACACTGCCTCAATTTGAAACATGCTGGCAAGGACAGGGTTAATGAAAGAGCGCAGACTCAATTCCAGCTGAAAATCAACTGCACGTGTGCAGCCTCCAAATCCGAGCGCGGAAGGTGCAGGAAGGGCAGGCTGGGGGCATGGCCTGACCCAAGAAGCTGCCGAGTGGGGCCCGGGCACTACACAAAACCCCGAGTTCTGGGCCAGAGCAGCGGACCGACTCTCCTCCTCCTCTCCGGCATTCCACAGGCGTCAGAAGCACCTCCAGATGTCCTCCTCTCCCAGCCTTGGCAAGGCCGTCGTCCCCCACGGCATGCTCGGACCTCACTTCTTTGGTCCTGGAGAAAACCCGAGAACCCAGGCCTACTGCACCAGGGCCCGTCTCCCTGCATCTCCTTCACCAGCCTATGTGTAAACAGACCATCCTCACGTCCGCTTGGAGAAGATGCTAGTTACCCGTCCCTCTCTCCACTACCGGGCCAGGAAGGGCTAAAACAGCTGTCGCTGCTGTCTCCAGTTTTTCCTCGAAGGCGTTCCAGCCGGAGTTCCACTTTGGCCACCCCAAAGCACCTGCTCCCCTGGGGCCCATAATCTCCATGTCACAAACTCAGTGGCTCCCCGGGTCGTGGCCCCGGCCCACGGTCCCTCTTTCCACTGAAGCCTGTCTTCCCGGCCACTCCCTGGTCCTCTTCAGCACCGGGCTCAGCCGCGGTCTCCATCTGCAGTCTCGACACCTTCCTTCCAGCTGTGTCAGCTCCCCGGTGCCCCCCCCCCCCCCCCGGGTCTACCCGCACAACTCCTCACCTGCACTCCATGTCTACCAGGCATCTCAAACTGGGCCCGACCTGCCTCCCCCTGTGCCAACCCCCTCAACACCATCAAGCCACACTGCCCTGCAACTGCCCGGGCCAAGGCCTCGCTCATTCTCGATTCCTCCCTGCCCACCCCATGCCTGTGAGGAAGCCCCTCCAGTGCGCACCTCCTCTACCCCCCTGGAGTCTCAGGCCGTCAGAATGCTCCGTTCTCTGCCCGTCACTGCAGCCTCTACCCGGCCCCTCCACCCCTACCCCTTGCTGCATCCACAAAGCACACAGTTACCCTGGAAGACAAAGCCGCCCAGCACTCACTCTCACTGTGACCGAACAAACCAAGCTCTGTGTGGTGTGTCTCCAGGCCTCCTGTGGCAGCCTCCTGTGGCAGGCCTCTCCTCCCATCATGCTCATTCTCTGGCTGCCCCGCACTCCCTGGGGGGCACCAGGACTTCTGTACCCACTGTTCCCTCAGCCTGGATGTCCCTTCATCCCTGTGTGGCCTTCTTAACGAGGCCTCCTCTGGACTCCCACCTCCCACCCCATCACCTCTGGCAAGATTTTTCTGACAAACTCTAGTTTTCCTTTGTAGTCTACTGCACCCCAAGAAAGCAATCACACCATCATTCTGAAAACAAAATCCTCAACTTCCTCAGATGACTTACGTCAGTCTTGACACTGAGAAGTTTCCAGACCTCACCTGAAATGCCCTCTGCTGGGGCCACATGCATGGCACAGCACTGCCTGGCCCAGCCCAGTCCCGCCCTCCAGAAGGCCACGGGTCAACTGCAGCAGAACGTGCTTCCAAAGCAGCGTACCTGCCGGGCCGCCTGGTTTCAGGCCCCGCCGGCGTCACAACGGCGAGAGGGAACAGTGCTTGTCTCCAGGAAAGCAGGCACTTCAGCGAGGGTGTGCCTGTTCTTCCCCGCTAAGGAGCCACCACTCCCGAGGAGGCCAGAGCTTGCTGGTGGAGGACACGCCTCCTGGTGGCCCTCATCCCAACCCGCGCTCTCTGACCTGCACCCGCCCCTCCGTGACGGGCAGCGCTAGCCCCTGTGCTAGTTCACTGCGGAGTGACGCCCCAGGCAGCAAAGGGGAAACACCACATTTCTGCTGCCAGGTTTCGTTTCGTTCCTCTCATTAAGGCCCTGGTCTGAGTGGAGGCGCCTACCGAACACCTGGTGTCACCCTTACCGGCAGAGAACATGATACCCTCGAGTGAGCAAGCCACCAGCAACCTGACACATTCGCAGGAAGTCTTTCCCCGACAGCATGGCTCTCCTCAAGGGAAACCAGAGTCTGAAAAGAGGACGGCGACTGGGGAGAAGAGGCAGAGGAGACACTACCGAAGTCCAGATTCTCACTGTCCCATCAGGTCCTGCACTTGCTGTATTTTCTAGGGAGGGGAAGAAAGGGCTGAGCGCCTCAGCGGAGCTGACTACGCACAGATAATTAACCCAGCTCAGTGCCGCACATACTCAGCACACAGGACGCCCAGGGGCCGGCGCTGGGTCTTGCAGTTAAGCTCCCACGTGCCACGTCCGAACGCCAGGGCTCAGCTCTGACTCTAGTTTCCTGCAAATGCAGACCCCTGGGAGGCAGCCTCATGATGGTTCTAGCTGGATCCCTGTCACCCCACTCCATCTGAGGAAGGGAGCGCTCTCTTTCACTACCTCTCAAATAAACATAAACAAACCCTTCAAGTGTTATAAACGACAGCAGTGAATTCTCACTGCACCACCCCTCTGCTAGTGGGCAGATCACACTCGCGATCCCCAGGTAACTCCACGGGAGCTATCCAAGGAGCTACCTGCTTAAAGTCAGTCACACTACGTGCACCAAAGCGCACACCCCACTGTGTGCTAACAAAGTCTGGCTTCACTGTTAGCAGCAACGCTCTGCACAGGAAGGCTCCAACTCTGATCTGCATGGTGATCTAGGGGAGTCACAGAATCTCTAGGCTCCTACTGCAAAGTTGGGAAAATACTTCCTTGAGTCGTCTATTTTAAGAAAGCTGTCACCACTGTTTACAAACCATGCTGCCGTTCCACGACACATTCTGCCTGAATACAGACTCGCACTCACAAACTCCTGGGGCTGCTGGATTCGTTCTAGCACGGGTTCTGAGACCCACACAGCTTGGTGCTCGTGACCACCTTGACCTTCTGTAACCGGCTACAGCTGCGCTGGGGAATTCCTGCACAGTAAGGACTACAATATTCTACCCCCACCTCACTTTCGTCCCACCCTGAAGAGAAGATTGAATTTTCTTACTTGTATCTGATCTTTTCATCCATGTCTTGAGGTGGTTCTTCTATAATGAATGAGACTAAATCTTCGAGACATTCTGCTTTTAACAGAAACTCTATAAGTTTGCGGTTCTGAGCTTTGCACTCCTGTAAAACATCTTCCTCATCCATCAGCTCCTTCAGTGTCACATCTTCTCTCTCTAGAAGTGTGTCTATGTGGGATGATGAGTGAAGATCAAATTTCCAAAACATGCTGGTCTAAACAAAATGCAAAGAGTATTTCATAAAACTTTAACTTCACATATTAATTTTCCATAATGCAAAGGTTAGTTTTACAGTCTAAAATGCCAACTTGACTCACATAATAAATTTCATACTGAACCTATAAAATTCTTTTTTTTTTTTTTTTAACAGGCAGAGTGGATAGTGAGAGACAGAGAGAGACAGAGAGAAAGGTCTTCCTTTTGCCGTTGGTTCACTCTCCAATGGCCGCCACGGCCGGCGCACCACGCTGATCCGATGGTAGGAGCCAGGTGCTTCTCCTGGTCTCCCATGGGGTGCAGGGCCCAAGCACTTGGGCCATCCTCCACTGCACTCCCGGGCCACAGCAGAGAGCTGGCCTGGAAGAGGGGCAACCGGGAGAGAATCCGGCGCCCCGACCGGGACTAGAACCCAGTGTGCCGGCACCGCAAGGTGGAGGATTAGCCTAGTGAGCTGCGGCGCCGGCCCTATAAAATTCTTTAAGAATGAGTAACATCGGTAGGATAGCTTCCCTTCTCAGAAAAGAAAATACTTTTATTAATAAATGACTTGACTTGAAAACACTCAAAGCTAAAACATGGGACAGCCTGCAAAGTCAATCACCCACACGCTGTTGCGGCTTCGACACTGGGCACGGGAGAAAGCAGCCCCACTCTTCACAACCCACGCGTTCTGCAGCTGTGACCCGCTCGTTCAGCCACTGGTAGCTCCTGAACGGCTGAAGTCAAAACCGGTGAAACCCATTATTTTCTTAGTAAAGTAAGAACTGGACCCTGCTTCTTGAGACGTTAGGGAAGCTGCTGCTCCGAAGAGAACATCTGACAATCCAGACAACTGCTCTAACACTACACACACACACACACACACACAGAGCCTACTCAACTCCACCCCTACATCTCTTCAGCTGTGGAAACCTGAGGCTGGCTTCCGTGACAAGCAACATACTCACTCGACTGCCACACAGGGAAACGTGAAACCGGGCTGATTCCATGGACTAACGGTGGCCACGAGGAGATCCTCTCAAAGGGCACTTCTGAGCAAAAGTGACAAGGGAACAGCCCTGAACAAGGCCTGAATGGCGACAGGGTCCTTCAGAAGTCAGAGCTAACTGTCAGACACTCCCTGCTCGAGACCTGCAGTTTGGTGAGACACTCCCTCCACACACCCTGAAATCCAAGCTGGAGCGCCACTGTCTACTGCGTGACGTGGTCCCTCTTGCCGCATCACCAGAGGCAAGGTCACACTCACGAGTCATCCGAAAGAGCAGGTTCTAAAGGGAAGGAGGCTGCGGCTGGTCTCTGTCTCATGCTGAGCACACATCTTTATCGTATGTCAAACCCATGAGATGAGGAGGTCAAGTACAAACACTCCATGATGTGATGCTGTTGTGAACATCTGGCTCAAAACTAATTATTTTTTTTAAAGAGAGATCATGGAGGTTAAAACTTAATCACACTGATGGATTCAGGAAAAAAGACGAGGACTGTAGGCCTTGGGAGGTTTCTTAAAGACTATAAGCCGGCCCCATGGCTCAATAGGCTAATCCTCCGCCTGCGGGACCAGCACCCCGGGTTCTAGTCCCGGTCGGGGTGCCGGATTCTGCCCGGTTGCTCCTCTTCCAGTCCAGCTCTCTGCTGTGGCCCGGGAGTGCAGTGGAGGATGGCCCAAGTGCTTGGGCCCTGCACCCGCACGGGAGACCAGGAGAAGCACCTGGCTCCTGGCTTCAGATCAGTGCGGTGTGCCGGCTGCAGTGGCCATTGGAGGGTGAACCAACGGCAAAGGAAGACCTTTCTCTCTGTCTCTCTCTCTCACTGTCCACTCTGCCTGTCCAAAAAAAAAAAAAAAAAGACTTATAAAGGTATACTCAATTCACATGCTAGGTTGGGGACACCAGACTTTACTAGCAAGTTACGATCATGGTATGTATGTGGAGTTTGAAGGAAGCTTTTAAAAGTTCCTCATGGAACAAGGTTTGCCAAAGGACACAATGAAATACAGAGGGTATCATAAAAGCTGTCCCTGGAGCTGGTGGTGTGGTGTGGTGTGGTGCAGCAGGTAAAACCATGAGCACTGATTTGTGTCCCAGCTGTCTCCACTTCCTATCCAGCCCTGTTAATGGCCTGGGAAATCAGCAAAAGATGGCCCCAGTGTGTGGGCACCTGCCACCCACAAGGCAGACCACCCAAACGAAGCTCCTGGCTTTGGCCTGGGAGCCCAGGCTATTGCAGCACCTGGGGGAGGGACCCAGCAGATAGCTTGCTCTCTCTAATCAATCTGACTTAAAAAAAAAAAAAGTTGTAGGGTCTGAAGCTATGGGTAAAGCCACCACCTTCAGTGCTGGTATCCCATATGGGCACTGGTTCAAGACCCAGTTGCTCCAATTCCAATCCAGCTCCCTGCTAACAACCTAGGAAAACAGCGGAGGATGGTCCAAGTGTTTGGGCCACTGCATCTGTGTGGTAGACCTGGAAGAATCTCCTGTCTCCTGGCTTCAGTCTGGCCCAGCTCCGGCCATTTGGGGAAGAGAACCAGCAGGTGGAAGACATCCCACTCTCTGTATCTTTTTTCTCTGTAACTCTGCCCTTCAAACAAATAAATAAATCTTAAAAAAATAAAAAGTTGTCCTGTCTTAAAAAATTTTAAAAAATGCTTCATTGCAATGCAACATGGCAGTAAGTTCGCATCAGTTAGCAGCAACAGAACCAAGACACGTCAAACAGCATGGGTGTGTGGGACTGACAGCACCTGGGTCTGGGAGACGACACCAGGCAGGAGCGCACAGTCCGCACACAGCTGTCTCCTTCCTCTGATGGTGACGATGATAATGACGTGTAGACGACATCACAGAACACTTAGAAACAAGCACCACACTCCTAGGCTAACACGTGGCCTCTGCTGCAGAGGGTGCTGGCAGGGACAACATTTGTGCCAGTGAAGGAAACGAACAACCTATTTCTAAGACAACTACTAAGGAAGTACGTACAAAAATGACACACCAGGCACAGGGCAAAGGTCAGGGGATCTCAGACATAACCACTTTTTTGGGTTTCAGATTTGTGAGAAACGGCAAACAAAAAATAGATAATCACATTTTAACCTAATAAAATGGACACCAAAGAACAACCCCAAAGGAAGAAAGGGGAAAGTGGGGTTTTAGTCCTACCAAGAGGAATTGTCAGGGCCATGTCCAGTGCTTCGGGAAGAAGTAACATGGCTGGTTTATCCACAAATTTTTCTAAACCACAAATTCTTTACAAAAGTGTATTTTTAACCGCACTTCCCCACACTTAGTAGTAAAGCTTGTGATGACTAAAATAGCCCTAAACTCTAAGCACAAATTAACGTACACTGGTCTGTTAAGGATATAAATAAGTGTGAGTTCTGATTTGGCTGAAGTAGCAAAATCACCTTAAAGAACCCCCAAAAGCCAACCATTCCTGTCAATCCCTTGCCTTCAAATCTGCTTCCAGGATCTCCACAGATGGCCTGAGAAACTACCAGACTTACACACCTTCCCAGACCTCCAATGTTGTTACCAAGTCAGCGCATACTTAGTCTGAAGTCAGATTTCTCATGTGTCAATGTTCTCTCCACTTGAAGTCAGAAAGTAGGCAGAGTGTAAAATAGAATCTGAAGCTTTAAGAAAAATTAAGTGTTGGGGTCAGCATTGTGGCACAGTGGTAACCCAACACTTTCAACGCTGGTACCCTTTGTGAGCACAGGTTCTAGTCCCGGCTGCTCCACTTCCTACCCAGCTCCCTGCTAATGCATCTGGGAGAGCAGCAGAAGATGGCCCAAGTGCTTGGGCCCCTGCCACCCATGTGGGAGACCTGGATGGAGTTCCAGGATCCGGGCTTTGGTGGGGCCCAGCCCCAATTGGGAACTAGACCAGGGTGGAGGGGTGGAAGGGTAGAAGAGCGGTCTATTTCTCTCTACCCCTCTCCAACTCTGCCTTTCAAAGAAATAAATAAAAATAAATCTTAAAAAAATTAAGTTTCATTTCAGGTAGCAAGTCTACTTTATGCAATTCTTTTTTTTTTTTTTTTAAACAGAGTTAGACAGTGAAAGACAGAGAAAGGTCTTCCTTCCGTTGGTTCACCCCAAAATGGCCGCCATGGCTGGAGCTACCCCGATCCGAACCCAGGAGCCAGGTGCTTCCTCCTGGTCTCCCAAGCGGGTGCAGGTGCCCAAGCACTTGGGCCATCCTCCACTGCCCTCCTGGGCCACAGCAGAGAGCTGGACTGCAAGAGGAGCAACTGGGACTAGAACCCGGCGCCTATATGGGATGCCGGCGCCGCAGGCAGAGGATTAACCAAGTGAGCCACAGCACCGGCCCCTCCTTTTTGCAATTCTATACATAAAGGCCAAGTATAATTAAAAATACCAAGAATAAAGCAAATCTGACAGCAAGTACTTATTATCAGCTAATTATAAACAGGATACATCCATCAATCAAGTGGAAACTATAGATGTCTACAAAGTAGGCCGAGTCACACTTCTCAACTATGAATCAAGAAATGATTTATCTACCTCAAGTGAAAACCAACTTCCAAATTCTTATCCTTTCAAAGGAAAGTCATTAAATACTAGATTTATAAGCACACACACACACATACACTGAGAGAGAGAGAGAGAGAGAGACTGGTAATTAGTCATGATGCAGTAAGAACAGGAGTTGGAAAACAGACCAAATCCAGCCCACAGCCTGCCAGCTAAGAATGATTTCGATATTTTAAAAGGGTTGTTTTGGGAAAAAGAAGAATGTGTGACAGAGATCATCTGTAGCTCACAAGGCCCTAGGTATTTCCTACCTGATCCCTTCTATAAAGGTACAGTGTCCCTGTCCCCAGTAAAGCTCACTGGTGCCCTGCCCTGTGCCCCTGGCTGGTGGTACAGGTGGCACACTGTCTCCACTCTCCCTTTCCTGGGGCGCTCTCTGACGCTGTTCTTGCCAACCTGTTGGGCAGGTAACCGTGACCACGTGGCAGTCTTCTCCA